CTATTTTTAGAGCTGAGATCTATGGCTGAGATGCTGTACTTGAATTCTAAAAGTAAACTTACATTCTGGTTTGAATGGGAACGTAATGCATGGTAAGATGACTCTATTTAAACTGTGTACTGCATCTCTGGATTTTTCATACTTATTAACTTGCATTAACCTATTCAAATAGAATTTTTATTGTTAAATGACTGAGAATAATTAGTTTCCAAATTTATTATTTTTCATAGCTATTTTATTTAGTGTCACTATTTGAATTTTTTTATGTTTACTTTCTAGTAACAAGTAAGGAAAGTATAGAAATCACGATCTTTACGTTTTGGGGTACCATGTATCCGTTTTGACCATTTTCGCGATATCTGTCTGTATCCATGGTAACTAAAAATCAAATGGAGAGAAGAACACAAAATTTTATACTTAAGATTTAATCCATATTGCGACGAGTTAATTGGGTTTTCTGCATAGTCGAAGCATCTCAGAGGGGATGTCTTTTTCTACTTTAATGTATATTTATGTTATTTATGATTGGAGAAGAAAATTATTTGAATACATGATTTAAATAGGCCGTAATGAAAAAATTTAAGAAAAAGCACAAAATTCGAATTGCAATATGGAGAAATCGGATATTTAATAATACTTTACAATCTATTTTAATGTTAATTTCTCAAGTTACTGGTACACAGGTTCCGATTCTGGTCTTTTTCTTAGTGGTAATTAGTTGATCATTAACGTTTATGATACGTACTTGAATTTCTTTAGCAGACATGACCAACTCTTTTCGGATCAGAATTCTTTGATCAACCTCTTCATCGTGGTTCTAAGATTCCATCATAATAGTTGTTCCATCTTTTACAGTATCTTAAAGTCATAATACTATACCAGGTACCACCATATCTTCCTGTACAGCTACTGGCACGGCACTGTCCCCATATGGATGAAGAAATACCTCTTCGGCAAAAACTTTGATCACTACACTACAATCATTACATACATCTTCGATATCAGCGACAATAACAGTATGAGTGAACTTTTCTGACCAATTCCTAATTGAACCTGGATTTTCCTATGGATGTTCGCACTTTCACCTGTAGCAGTTCGCAGTCAAAACAAAGGTGTCAGAAGTGGCCTACTGTAAATAGATGTATAATAGAGTACAGAAAATGGCGAATGCACTATATTGGTTAGTGTAAGAAATGGTGGAGGTGCCTTCTAGAAATTTTAAGACAGTGCTGGAGCGTAATATTTCAGTATTTAAATAGGATTGTTTAAAATAAATAAACCTTACGTTATTCTCCTCATCTAACCTAATTCCGTAATTTACATTGATAGGTACTCAAACTTTTTAAACGTGTGTCAAGAAAGTGTACCAGCCTTCTTTAAAGAAATTCATGCATTTTGCTTGTTATCTTACCATAAAAAATTATGCTAAAATATTTGTATTCCTACAAAATGGGAACTGTGTGAATTTGTATCCTCAAGAAGTGAAACAAAATATCTTTTATCTAAAACATTTCTTTTTCGAGATAATGTGTGGTTGAGCTACAATATTTTTTATGGCATATTGTTTTGAAATACGAGTACTTATACCAACAGTTAATAATATCCTGCAACTATCATGTATCGCCAAAAAATTATATTTTTGTAAGCGTAGTTAAAATAAAAAATACTCAAAGTTATTTGTATTGTTTAGTCTATAAGGAGGAATTTCAAAAATTAGAAGCATTTTGCTAGTGACTATTTATAAAATGATCAATCAGCTCGAACTGATAGGTATTTAAATTTGGCTGGATAAATAAATGTGTTCTGAATACCCTATATTACTGTGACGTAATTTGTGTTCCACTGACAGTTAAGTTTTAACAGTCTATCATTAAATTTAACAAACATACGTTTTTAGCTTTTTTTTACGATATTTGCAGGTTGTAAAGTAGTTTAAAGTTATTTAACAATAATATATTATGCAACGAATATCTATTAATGGCCATTACATGAGAGTTGCATGTACTATTTTTTCTATTCCCATATATATATTTATTTTCAGAATATTATATATTATCATAAATGAAAATAAACTTTTTTACAACATATTAATTAGTTTATAAACAAGTTATTTATAAAATTTATTTGTTAGGTTGTAGAATTTAAACTGGGGGGCATGTAACTGTTGATTTAGTCACTCCTATTTTTAATAGAATTGAAAATTTCATTTAAAACAGATTTTAATCTTTTTAGAGTATTATAAAATTATTTTTAATGTTTAAATGAATAAAATCTGGAAAATAAAATAAGTAAAATGTTAACGAATACCTATAAACCTCTACTTTTATAGGTCAAATTACTAATATAGCCTATAAATATACTAGAAAGAGTAAAATTTGAGTAAATTAATACTGTCAATTCTAGTGTAATATATTTAAATAAATTTAAATACAGTGTCTCCAAAATTCGAGGTACAATTGTATTTGATGTGGATTCGTCTTTAAAATGATTTAAAGTTACGTAAATTTTGAGTTTATCCAAAAAACTAAAAATGGCCAGTTCTGTTTTTTTTTTAAAATGGCAACTCAAACGATAATTTGACATACTCCAATGTGTTACATTCTTAAGACACTTTATAATGAAGAATATTTTTGCAGAATAAAATTTTCAGATTGACTTTTGTTTTCAATTAGCCTACCGTAACGTTGTTATTTCTTCTGGCGACCATCTTGGATTTTACTTAAATTTATTTTAAACGATGTGTCCCATGATATTCAAATTTTTAAAAAAATATTTTCCTTAATTTGGCAACCGCGCATTCATAAAAAACACCTTTTGTTACGCAAAATTTATTTGTTCTGGGCCTACCATGTAAAAATACCTAAAATAATCATGTGAAGATATTCATTTTGCTGACATTATACACTCATCTAAAATATATAATTGAATTCTTGATTTGTATACATTTTATTTTGTTTAAACATTTTTAATTTTATTGCGGTGTTGTCTAATCTATTTATAAGTTATATTATAGGCTAGGATACTTAAAATTACTGTTGTGTACCGGAACCATAGTGGGAACGGGAATGGTACTTCTGGTTACAATAATCAGAACTCGAAGAACTCGCGAAAACACAAATCAGACATAGAGGTCTATTCTGTAACAATTTCTTTATATTTAACGGCCTTTAAAAATATTGGTGGCCTTTAAAAATATTGGTGGCCTCTAAAAATATTTTCGTATTCGTTAATTTACTTCTGTCATTATTTAAACAGATTTCTTTAAGATAGTCCTCTAATGTATTTTAAAGATCCGTTTAAATAATGACAGAAGTAAAGAAGAAAATATTTTTAAAAGCCGTTAAATATAAAGGAATTGTTACAGAATAGAACCCATATTCTTGAATTTATTAAGAATACGATAGGACAAAAACTGAGCCGAGTACAAAAAGCCTACAGCTTCATTACAAGAGGGCTTTGGTTAGCATCCCAGCTCATCTTCATAAGTAGGTCTACTTGATAATCCGTTTTGTTCTTGTGATAACAATTGCGGATTTAAATCATTTATTCTTTAAGTGTAGCTATTTAAAAGCTTGCAAGGTACTTTTATTCGCCCTCATTAGATATAATATTCAATTACCAGTAAATATTATGCATTTATTACAACTAAATCACAATGGACATTTCCCGTTATTCGACAATTTCGCATTACTCATGCGCGAAAAAAGAGTGGGAATATTGAATCTAGTAATTTTTCAAACAACTTAATTGTTCCCTTTCTCATCCTCGCCTTACAATTATTGGGTTGGCTACGACGATTACCCCATGTTATCGTTAATTTAAACAGCTGTCATCGTGTCTATATCGATGGCTCAATCAAAAACCGCCACAAGTCAAAAAACAAAGAAAATTACATTTTTGGTTCAATGGATGCAAAATATCATTGAGTTTTTATTTTAAATACCGCCACAAACCAAAATATCCTTAGAGATACCCGAAAATCATTTAAAATCTTCCTCAAACTATATCTGAAACTGACACAATTCGGGTTATTTTTCCCAAAAACACCCAAATTTTTAACAAACTACGCAATAACTCGAGTTTTTATAATCATAATTGTTAATTTTAACAGTAAAATGTCGTAGCTTTTAAATAAATTATGAAGATTTTATGTCAAAAACAAAGTAATGATAATATAGACACAAAATTTTAAATGAAATTTCTCAAAACAATAGTATTTTTAGTTGTGGCAGTATTTAATTGAGCCATCGATATGTTGGGGGACCCAGTGATAGTTTTTTTGGTACACGTTTACAAAAGGCTGTATTATAAATATATCGATAATTCTTACCTTGCAGAAGATGGAAATATTTTGCTGCAGACGCACTAGCTATGGAGCGCTCGATGACGACATCTTCAAAAAGCAAATATAAAAAATAAGAACAGAAAAAAGTTTGCTGCCTTCTTAGTAGAGGTGGAAAATTTCAAATTTAAAAAATAAAATTATTATAATAATGTGTTTTATTTACGTAAGGCTAATTTTTTTTCTGTGATAGAATAATATATTATTAATGAAAACCGTTTGCTGTAATAGATCTAGCGGTGAAATGCTCTATCAGCAAGCAAGAAGGCACTGTAAATCTAATTTCAAGAAAGTGACAGTAAACTTTTTTCTATTAACTTTTGATGTAAATAAGAAAAAAGTTTTAAGCTTGTTCTTCTATGAGAGCATTTTCTATAAAGGCTTTTTTAAGACGTCTTAATCTACAAAAATATCCTACATTAAAAAGATGTAACACTTTGGAATATGTCAAATTGATGGTTAATTCGCCATTAAAAAAAAACAAAATGACCACCAATATACCCCAAAATTGATACGAGTAACATAATTTTCAAAATCTATACAACTATGATGAATTTATTCATTTTCAATTAAGTGTGAGATAAGCTATTTTTGGCGACAGTTTTGTATGTTCTAATATCACCATAATAGATATAACTCAGTCGTTTCTTTGTTCTAGGGCCGATTTCATGTCATCTTTATCGAAGTAAAAAAGAAATAGCATGGGAGTGGCAGAGGATTTCGCTCCCAGCTTCACCCAAAAGCCTCAATTGAGGCAGGAGGACGATGGAAACAAACTCATATTCGAATGCCAATTACTGGCGGCGCCGAAACCGGAAATCGAATGGTTTCGGAGCGATGTTCCTTTATCCGAAGATAGTAGAACAAATTTTAAAATACAATCGATAGGCACCAACAAATTTTTAGTTGTACTCGAATTAGATGATGTTATTGAAACCGATGCCGGCCTTTATAAGGTCAAAGCGAAAAACACCATGGGGGAAGTTGCAGCTTCGATTAATCTTAACTTCAGCCGTAAGTACTATTCATTAAATACCTAGCTATAGAACTTTTGCTCTTTGGGTTTTCACTTAAGTATTGCCTCTTCGTTTCCTGATTAAATTTCCTTCTTGAACTAATATTACATTTTCCAGTTGCATTTCCAAAAATATACTGGCAATAAAAACAAATACACAGTTTTGAAGCTGATTCTTGTAAAACATTTCTGGAAATTTACTCTCCCTTATTGTTTAAATCAACTATATATAGTAGGGTAATACAAGAGGGGCACAATATTTCTACATAACTGGATCCATGAAAACCACACTAACCAAAGCCATGGAAGTCATTGTTAGTCTCACCTCTATTGATATTTACATCAGGGAGGTTGCTCTTATGACAATGATATGACTCCGCACAGTTGGAATATAATCAAATGTAGAATCTGGTGAGGCGAGACGTCACTTTTGGCGTGAGGCGCTCAATACGCTTCAAACGAACCTGAACTCCATCTCGGAGATATATCTTCCGTAACCATAAAAAGTTATAAGGGAACAAATAAAAGTGCTGGAAGTGGCTGGTACGATTCATATCTACACAGACTGTTCTAGAACAAAATAAGGCTTAGGATGTGGAATATACTTCAGATCTACACCGACTGTTCTAGAACAAAATAAGGCTCAGGATGTAGACTATACTTCAGATTCTTAAAGCTAAACATAAAATGAGCTGTGAGCCAGTGTAGTTCACCCAAGCTAACAGGTATTCCCATAGCAGCAAAAAAAAAGCATGCTCACATATACAGATAGCAGATTCCTTATGAAATTCAAGGAAAGGTGAGATGAAACAAGAAGCTGCATAATTGTCAGGCAATTGTTAAATTACCCTGACAACATCATAGCAAACAAATACTATGACTGGTCATTGCCAAGTACGAAGCATTTCCAGAGCATGGGAATCGAACAAGAAGCTGTCTAGATGATCGATTTTTGGACTGTCATTCATCCTTTATTATTGTCCATCTCTCCTACCCTCTATATCTACTCAAACTTATTTAATATAATGTATAAAAACTTTTTATTAATGCAAACGTTTTTTTTTCAGCCATGGACGAACCGAAAGAAAAGTAAGTAAAATTGTATTTACATTTCAATGAATGCTAAGAAATATATCTTTCAGAATCTAGTCACAACTTAAATTAATTGTTTTCACATCCTGGCTACATCCTTATCCGAAATTAAAAAAAAATTACATAGTTTTGACGCACACGCGCCTTTCCCTTACATTTTTAAGTTCTGTATAGCACTCATTGTAGCCTGCCAAAATAGTGTTTACTATTAGTCATTTTGAACTAACAAACACTAAATTTTTACGAATCATTAACTATATCTGGCACAAAACTCCTATACTTATAGTGTGTTTAAAAATAGTTGTTTCGTTTTTCATTTATGCTAACACTTTAAATCCATTTGTTCTATTTTTACCTTAATTATAAATACTTTATACCTAACTATATTAAATAATTTGTACATTTGTTTTGTAAAAACTGTACTCAGCAAGGATTTCATATGTGAGAGCATTTATCAGCCACTAGATCGCTATTATACAGGGCGAATCCTAAGTTGGTATCTTTTTTTTAACAGTGTATAGAAGTCATTAAAATAAAAAACTTTTTACAAAAAACATCAAAAATACGACACTTACATTAATTTATTGCAAAATGTACCAATACGATAATACAGCCCTGTCTATCTTAAATAATGTGTTCAAAGTTGTCACCCTTCAATTCAACTCAAATGCACTTTATATCTTCTCGGACTTCCTTCATGTTCTCCACGATGTTCTCCAATTAGAAAAACATTTCATTGAAGGTTATGATGATTCTACAACTGTGAATCGTCAGTTTCTATTATTTTTCAACAAATTAAGAAGAAAATTCTTCTTCCATTAAATTAATTTTGGGAAAAATTGCAATCCTGCGTTACTTTAACTTATTTTATATTATAATTAGGTATTAAGTATTTTAAGTGAAGGATTTGAAAAATAGAATGACACTATAATCATTACAGCCGGTTGCAATAACGTTCGGCACTTATACACCTTAATAAGGCTGAGAATATGAACTGTCTGAATGACATGAACTTCAAATTATGAAATGTTTAAAGATATGGGATTATTAGCTTATAATATTGAGATATTTAAGAAGCGTTCTTGCAACAAAGTGTTATTGTTATTTACTCCTAATTATTTGATAATAACTGGGCGGAGCAAAATATGTATGAGGGAAAGTTAATAAATTCATAGCCGTTGGAAAACTCTTCGTTGTTGGTGGAACTATTTAAAAACGAAGATACTGCCAATAGAAAGATTTACGATTTGGAGTAGACGAATGATTAAAAAAAAAGTAGTATATGTTCACAGGGCGAACTTTGACTAATGCTAATTAAAACTGTGTTGGAGAAATAAATAATAAATATGTTCATTGCGATTGTTACCCAGGTATATTTGGGAGAAGCAGCAGAACAATAATTCTGGAAATGATTTAAATGGTAATTACTAAAAGAAATGTGAAAACATCAAAAATTGGAGTTGCATTAAACATGACGGCAGTCAATAATTATTTTCATAAGAAGGAACAAATTTTATAAATTAAAATTGATTTCGCATTTGTTTTAAATGTTAAGGAAGCAATTTAATATTAAAAGTTAAAAAATCACTTAGTAGTTTGGAAAAATATATTATTTGCTTGTCAATTACAGAAAGTGTTGGAATGACAAAGACAGAGAAATAAGTCATATCCGTGACATATCTATATCTGTAAGGCAGGGAGGATGGGTTGCTACACAGCACTTATGCCTCATTAGGTCCATTGGTCTTCCTCCAGGGGCTAACAGGACCTGCCTCTCAACTTGACAGAAACCTTATTCTTTTTCGCTGAGAGGTGTTTAGAGATAGTTATCATCCAAGCTCATCAAAGTCCTGCAGATGCCCCATTTTTGGAAACAGCCATTTGTTGGGCTTCTATCACCTCGATGGTAAAAGCCCGAGTGAAGCCATTCTGTCCGCCCGTTCCACGCAAATGTCTATGATAACTACTCACAGATCTGAATTAAATCCAAACTGATAGTTAAAAAAAAAAAATTGTACGCTCCAACAAGCGTGAAGTTTTTCAAGGGCTAGTAATAAATTTGTGGATTACTTCATTATTATATTAACAAACGCTTTTTCGGTGTTCTTTACATCTATTTAAATAAATATGTCTTTTTGTTATTTAGACAAATAGATGGACTAGCACCCACTTTTGCAAAGAAACCAGCAATTCGTCAAGAAGATGATGGCAAAAAATTACTTTTCGAATGTCGAATACAGGCAGATCCCCGTCCAACAGTTAGTTGGTCTCACAATGGCAACGCTGTAAGCGAAGGTCCACGTCACAAGGTATTTTTTACTTTTTTTGTAATTTTGATTTTAAAAACATATCTTAAAGATGAATTTTGAAAATCAATCAATCAAGTTTTAGTTCTATTCATTTTTTTTTGTATATAATTTACAACTCGTTAAATAAACAGATAAAAATTTTTGTTTATATTCATAAATATTATAAATTTATTTAAAATCTAAGTGCAGAAAAATCTTGCCATATACCATATGAGCATGACAGTATCCAATGTTAAAGTTTCTTTTATATTTTTAGTGAAAGAACAAAATTTCTCATTGGATATATTTTACTCTTTAGCTACTTTTGAAAATATTTATTTTAAAATAATAATTGAGACAATCGTTAAAAATGCGTATTTTTAATATATTTTTTTTAACTACGTTATACCTATACGTAGAATATTTTTTCTTGCACTAAAAAGAAACCTTAAAAATTGTATGGGTATACTATGAAACCCTTGCAGTCACTGCTCCGACATAGCAATCTTATATTACTGAAAATATTTATATTAAAAAAAATAATGTGTACAGAAACATCTCTAGTAAATACGAGGATGTATCAGAAAATAACGAGACTGGTGCTATAGTATAACAACGAAACATTTATTTAAAAAAATTCAACAACTATCCTTCGAAGTACTTTCCATTCTGTTGAATACACTTATTCCATCGCTTTATCCACTTAACATAAACTTCTGAGAAACCATTTTTTGATAGTCTGTTTAGTATACCCATCACAGCGTTGTTGAGCTCTAAATCCGACTCAAATCTTCTACCTCTCAATTCTTTTTTGACTTCAGGAAACAAATGGAAGTCACATGGAGCAAGGTCAGGAGAGTAGGGGGGATGAACCATAATTTCAACCCCTAATTCTTCAATTGTTCGTTGACAAATCATTGATCTATGAGCCGGAGCATTGTCGTGATGCAGCGTCCAGCCAAAGTCCTGATAAAGCGGCATTTTTTTCTTTAATTTTGCCTTTAAGGGTCCTCGAAGTACATTAGAATAGTACTCCCCTGTTACTGTATGTCCTCTAGGTACAATGTGATCGTAAATAACGCCAAATTTATCCAAAAAAATCAGGTGCATCACTTTACCAGCGCTTTTAGCAGTTTTGGCCTTCTGCGGTCTTGGGCTGCCTTTATGCTTCCATTGCATACTTTGAGACTTCAATTCAGGATCGTAATGATAAAACCAACTTTCGTCACATGTAACCACATTATTTAAAAACTGTGGGTTACGTTGCAATTGCCTTTTCCACTGCTGACAAATTGTCACTCGATTCGCTTTTTGTTCATCGGTCATTACTTTTGGAATCCATCTTGCCGCGATCTTCCGGTACTCTAAATCTTCATGAATAATTTTTTGAGTGGTACCGTAAGACAAATTAACATTGTCAGAAATTCGTTTTATGCAAATCCGGCGATCATTTTGTATCAAGTCGTTAATTTCTGCAATTTGTGGTCGACCGGGACGAGGTTCATCTTCAACTGATTCACAATCGTCTTTAAACTTTTTATGCCACTCAAACACTCTACATCGTGATAAACTATTATCTAGATATGCACCTTTAATCATTTCAAAAGTTTCAGTTGGTGTTTTACCCAATCGAACACAAAATTTTATCGCGTATCTTTGCTCCACTTTCATTTTTCGATGGGTACGCAAAACACTGACAATTCAATAATTAATTTGTAACAAATGTCAAAAGTTAAATCAAAGCCTACTTGCGGGGTAGTACATTAAATATAAGGCTTTCATGTCTCATTTTTTGGGTTATAAAATGTTACCTCTGAAAGAAGTTATAGCACCAGTCTCGTTATATACTGATATAAAAAAAATAAAAAAAAAAAAAATTAAAACATTTAGAGAACGAATCAAACTACTAATTAAACTACCAATCAAACTACTTATTATTAGTAGTTTAATTAGAAATATTAAATATTGTTAGTAAAAATTTTTCTATAAAAAAAACGTTCTCTAAATATCATTTCATACATATATATTGCCTATTTCCACTAAGTGTGCCTGATTATGAGGTAGTTTTGAAGTTACCGGTCACAATAAGAAAAAAAATACATATCTTTGCGGAATTTAAAGAATTTTTCTTTTTGTTTCTTCGCCTTTATAATATAAAAAAGAAAATAAAAAAAACAAAATAATTTAAACTCAAATGTGACCAAGAAAAATAAACCACGAAGCGAATGTCACATAATATGAGCGACCATTTCCCTTTGGAAAACAACTACTCCTTTGGCTAATCCCGTGACAGGCACTTGATTATAACCAAAACAAAAAAGAAGAGATAGAAAATAATGTTCAACACTCTACTGTTTATATTCACAAATATCAATTTCTTTCAAATTTCAGAGCGTTATGTAGATCCCGATATTTATCTACTATTGATATTTGAGATAGCTTTCATCAAATTCAAATGAAAGAGAGCTATACAACTAAAACAGCTTCATAACGTACATCATATTTTTAAATTGATTATGTACAGATTATAACATCATTTTGGACTATAAACAAATTAAGAATTGAAAATTAGTTTTTATAAAATTTGATGAAGATCATGTAAAAAAATAATTAGAAAAATAAGAATTTCTGCGTGTGAAGTGTGTGATTTTTTGGGACACGTTGTAACCTCTGATTGGATTAGACCTAATCCTTGGAAAGCGAGACCGGGTTGCTCCACGCCAAAAACTCAAAACATCATCAAATCATTTTTAGGGTTACTCGTTTATGTTTTTCATTAGAAAATTATTTGTACTTGGAATATCCAACCTTGTGGTTATTTTAGACATAATAAAATAAGCTATTTTCATCAAATTATCGAATTTTCTAAATATTTATGATCTTAGTTTCTTACTAAAATAAATACATGACCTGAATTTTGCAATAATAACTTCTCGAAAAGAAAATATTGTTACATTATCTAATTCTGTTGAGTAATTGCAATTTCCGATTAGGGTTGGGAAGTTAGAACATAGTTGACTCTTATTTGGTTCTGGAACTTAATAAGTAATAAGTACTAATTTGACCAAGCTATATAATATCTTCTAAAATGATGGAAATATTTTACCGGAGCAAAAAAGGATTTCAAGTATTCTTAGAGTACTATCAAAATGTGATAAAAACATTGCCTAATTAGTTACCTCTTGGTAAACAACTTTCATACCTAAAATCTTAAATAATACCCTTCATTTGTTTTTTATACTTTTATATGTGTTTAAACTACAATCAAAATAAAATCTAATCTTTACAACAATAAGTTTATTAAAAAATGTTTCAATCTTCCTAAAAGATTCTTGGAGAGAGTTGTCATTATCAGTTCTGGAGTAAACAATAATTATACTCAACATATTAACTATTGTTAAGAAATTCTTAATACAAACCACAGGCCAAACATGCAAGAGAAATAACCTACTTCAAAAAAGTATACATTGCTTATGAACAATGCCGCCAAACCGTAGATTGCAACTGGAGTCTCTCTTCCACAGTTGTCACATGGACTTACACGCTATCATAAGACCTATGCTAACATACGGTGCAGTTGTCTGTGTACCAAAAACTCAAAAATTGACAGCTATCTGCGAACTAGAATAAATTCAAAAAACAGCATGTCTTGACATAACAGAAGACTTAAAAGCCATACCTCCCAGAACCATGAGTCATTCTTGATCTCACTCTCCTTGATACTTACATCAAGGAGGTTGCTCTGATGACAATGACACGACTCCGCATGGTTGGAATAGAACCTATGATGTAGGATCTGGTAAGGACGTGCCGTTTTTGGCGGGAGGCGTTCAATACGCTTCCACTGCTTCAAACAAACACTGGTTCCATCTCACGGAGATATATTTACCATAATCCATACATAAGACATATAAAGTTATAACGGAACAGATTAAAGAGCCGGAAGTATCAGGTACGATTCATATCTACACCGAAACGCAACGGTTCTAAAACAAAACAAAAGGCTTAGGATGTGGAATATACTCCAGATCCTTAAACCTAAACATAAAATGGGTTAAGAGCAATAGTGCCAGTGAAGTTCAAACCGTGCTTACGGGGATTCTCATAGCAGCAAAAGAAATAATCAGAAACAATATCATTGGAAGAAACACGCTCATATCTATACAGATAGCAGACAAGCACTACACTCACCCTGGAAAGATCACGAATTTATTATCGAACATAATGTCTGAAGAAACTCAAATGTAAATTAGTTATTTACCCAAGGATAGTCACCACAAAGATGTCACGAAGCTTTGGCCAAAGTCTCCATCAACGATATGGTCACCTTAAGATGGAGCAAAGGTCACGCCACATCAAAAGGCAACCGTATTGATGATTTACCACCCAAGAAGGCAGTCAATCAAATATTTTCTGGACCTGGCCCTTTCATTGTACTGAAAACAACGGTAATGACAAAACTAATTAAAGAACACTCCATTTTGAAATTCAAGAATAGGTAGTATAAAGCAATTAGTTGCAGAGTTGCCAGGGAGCTTGTAAGTTACCCTGACAACACCACAGAAAACAAATATGACAACACAGAATCTGCGCCTGATCATAGGCTAGTCATTTCCAAGTACGGAAGTATCTCTATAGCATGAGGCTACCAGAATCCCCACTCTGCAGGGGATGCGAACAAGAAGATAAGAACATCGAGTTTATCCTCTAGAATTGTCCGACACTTTCATTTATTAGAAGATTTGTGTTCGGCGAGTTTCTGCCAACACCGGCTGATATAAAAGAAGCACCTCTTGGCGACGTTGTCAACTACATCATATCTGTAGGCTGGCTGACGAGCTAAGAGGGGCCTATCCATTTAGAAGGATACCAATGTGCATAGAGTGAGGCCTAAGTGGCGTCAAGCAACTCACCCTCCACACGTTACAGATACAAACCGTTGTTGAAGAAATTACCGAAAGAAAACATCGATTTATTTTGACACATACATTTTTAATTCATTGTTTTCACAAGCAAGTTGGAAAATAAAATAACCAAAGAAGTTATAATCGTTCTGAAAGACTTAGGCGGTAGATACTGATACATGAACACTTACTAGGACAAGTTTGAACAAATAGTTAGTCAATCTCCAGTACAGTCCGAACATGTCACTACTAAGAGACGGTTGATTTAAAGATCATTATAAATAGTCATCGAGAAACTAAAACAGACGAATTAAGGTCTATTACTCACATAGAAGTCGTACATATGAAAGAGAGACAGTTGTTGCCTTATTATTATTATTATTTCACGTAAGATATATTAAATCATTTCTCAAAACATTGTATTTTATTAAATGCTTTTATGTAAAGTATAAGTTACGTGAGCTATAGCTAGCATATTCTGAAAGTATGTTACGAACCAAATTCCAGTTCGGTTTTAAATTTAGGTCGAGATGGTGACATCTTGCACATTTAACAGGTCATATCAATGTCACAATCAAATAAGTTATAACAATTTTGCTAAAGTATTTTAGTGTTTATACTTGGCAACATTTCGTGTTCTAATTTTAGAGCATAGAACATGTCACCTGTTGTTTTTTTTTTTAATAAATCTGGAGTTTGATATATAAAGCTGATTTTCTTCTCTTATAAAATGATAAAAATGAATATAAACGTATGCTTGTTTGGGATTAAATACATAATACTATGAACACACAAATTTGAATGATCGCCAAGATTTTATACAAATACGTACCAGAGGTATATGCAGATACTATCAATGAGAAGGCGGGTAGGGGAGAATTTTATTTCTCAATTTATTAAATTACTATAAAGTTATTCGTTTGGAGCACTACTAAGTTAGTTCATAGTGGCTCGCAGAACAACTTGTAAGAAGAAAGTGAATTTTAAGTGCATTGGTGTGAATATTTAAATATTGTTGAAATAAAAGACACAATAATTTCGATTTTGTATGTACTTTAAAGTAAATTAAACTCATTCAAATTTAAAACAGTGACTAAACTCAATTAAAAGGTGTTTGAGGAATAGTGAATAGTTCATATAAGTAAAAAAAACCTGAAAAAAAATTCGGTAAATACATTTACGAGTAACAAATGACTGAACAAAGCAAAATATTTAAATAATGTATTTTGGTACCCTATATTACTATCTAAATTTGAATTTGCTGTTCGAAAGTTATTTTTGAAAAAAATATTTTTTGGCAAGAGTAAAATACGTCTGGAGTGGCTCAGTGCCATCCTTGTCTAACCCACAAATTTTAAAATTTGCCAGTATTGTACATACCTTCATAAAAGTACAAAAATCTTTCATTGCCAAAGTAGCCAATCTGTATTTTAAACTATACCGGCCTAATACAATAGAGATGGAAAACTTTGGCACTGGAAGATTTGGGTATTTTTATGAAGGCATGCACAAAACAAAATTTGTGTTAGACAAGGATGGCACTGAGCCACTCAAAAAAACTGAACTCAAAAATTGAACGGTATAGGGCTGGATAAACTTTATATCTTGTATTTCAATAAATTTGCAGTAATATTTGACACTGCCACTAATTTCTTATTCCCATCTATTTATCTGAGTTAGATTTCTTATAAAATATTATTGTAATGTAAATGCGGTGTAATTTTATTTCAGTTGAGGATAGATAAAGATGGACATTCATATTTTGCGACCCTTGAGATAATTGATGTCACGGTAGAGGATGCTGGCAAATACAAGGTGACCGCAAAAAATGATTTGGGAGAGAGTAACGCAACAATCAGCCTGAACTTTGACAGTAAGTTTTTTGTTCCGCTTCTTGTGTCTGCTTTGTGTGCCCTTTTGTCAGCCTCAGCCTCAGCGTCCAGTACTGATATTGAAAATTAGAAGCAATAAGCGAATAACCATAGAATTAACTAGAAGAAGCTTGGCTCTAATCAAGTCATAATTCAGATAAAATAGCATAAAATATACAAGATTTAGCTATAATAGCCAGAGCAACATCAATAGCCATCAGCCATAATAGCTATATCGAAAAAGTCTTCTTTCTATATCTCTAATAACACATTTGATAATAATGACTTCTTCGGCTTGCGAAAATAAATAATCAACATTACATCAAAAACAAAATTAGAAACCAAAACCAAAAACAACATGCATATCCCATAAACACAGCCCCAGCCAATTTCTCCCTAAAAACTCTTTAAAAGCAGCAAAAGTTATGGACAAGTAAGTCAGCACTCGTGCACAGTACAATGGACTAACCGATGCTTAATATCAGCTCAGCTTTTAATATGCAGTTTTAACAATTTCATTTCTAATTAATATGTACATTAAAATATGGAAATCTTTTTGTGTGAGTTAAAGCTTAGATTAGATTGAGTGTAACTGTTCGCAAAACTACGATTATGCGAATTAGATACCAACCAACCTAAGTACCTGGCAGACACAGAGTGTGGCTGGATTGAACGTTTCAGTTTTTTTAGGCCAAACTAAGAGGAACCTACCACCCGCACCATCAACACTTGTTTGTTAACATTTAATACTAAGTCTAAAGGCCATGTTCTTGCAAATGTGACACTTTTCTTTCAGAGTTGTATTTACACAATCAAAAAAATATCTTTCACTTTAACACGATTGAATGATTAAAAGCTGAGCTTTTTCTATTTCGATAAGCATTGTAAGTTGCGCGAGTGTTGCTGGCTGTCCTGTGTCTTGATACAGCCAGTTTAGGAGAGTTTCTGCTCACTAGGCGATGAGGCACCAGTGCCCGAAAAGGAGGGCATCAAGCCAACGTTCACAGAGCGCCCAGTTATCCGGCAGACCGACGATGGCTCTACCATCACCTTCCTGTGTCGCTGCGTCGGAGACCCTAAACCAGAAATCCAGTGGTAAGTTTAGATATATATGCATTTGCTTACAGCCAAACCAATTACCCACTGTACCTAGGTACCACGGCAAAGAAGAGCTCACACAGAACAGTCGGTACTCCATGTCACTAGATGTAGACGAGAAGATCTATTACATAGCCCGGCTTGAAATTGTCAATGTTAAGAGGAATGATCGTGGAGAGTACCGCGCAATAGCGAAGAATAGATACGGTCAAGGCATGGCTACCATCAACCTTAATTTTGAGGGTATCGAAAAACCCAAGTAAGATTCAAATAACTTTTATCTTAACGAGGCTCTATTCCTAGACCCAATTATCTCTCTTGTAGAATACCTGACGGAAAAGCGCCAAGATTCCCGAAAAAACCCACCATCAGACAAGAGGGAGACGTACTGATCATGGAATGTCTTCTCGAGGCACATCCGGACCCTGATATCACGTGGTTTCAAAGCGAAAAAAGTATTGCGGACAGCCCGCGTGTTCGCATGCTCAGAAAAACTACTAGCAAAGACACCTATCTTCTCACTTTAGAAATCGCGAATCCTACTCGAGAAGATGGCGGGCATTACAGATGTAATGCCTTCAATGAGTTTGGTGAAAGCAACGCTAATATTGCGTTGAACTTCCAAGGTAGGATGCGCCCCCAAATCGTCCGAACTGTACTGTACAATTACTATGTTTCTGTATTATGTGTCTGTGAAACGTCCAATTCCGTTACTCATTTCCAATTTGTTCCAGTGACGTCTTGCCAATCAACCACCAACACTCTGTCTTCGACCTGTGTTACTGTCATTTTGCATGAGCATGGCCTTTGATTTCATCATTGTTTTTTAGAGCAAATCTAACTTATCTGTGTTACAGGTGGTGATAGTGCTGATGGTTTTGCGCCTTCTTTCGTAGAAAAGCCCAAAATCATACCTAATGAGAGTGGTACTCTCATTACTATGAAATGTAAATGCAAAGCTAAACCAAAACCAGACGTTACTTGGTTCCGTGGAACCACTGCTGTCAAAGAATCTTCCAAGATCAAAATTATGATTGTTGATCTCGAAGAAGACAAGTACGAGCTGTCACTCGAAATCAAGGTTAGTTTAATTATTGCCTATGAAAGTTATAAGTTGTGTAAAAACATTTGTAATATTTTAATTATATATATTTATAAGAGATACAAGTTCACTAGTATATTTTACAGGATCCTTCGGGTGCAGACGGCGGCACCTACAGGTGCCATGTAAAGAACGAATATGGTGAAAGCAATGCAAACCTAAACTTAAACATTGAGGCTGAACCAGAACCGGAAGGAGAAGGACCAACGTTCGTAGAAAAACCAAGAATAACCTCACACGACGGAGGAAAATTAGTTGTCATGGAGTGTAAAGTTCGTGCTAATCCTAAACCGACAATTGTTTGGTACCGAGAAGGTAAAGAAGTAACCGAATCATCGAAGATAAAAATTAGTATCAAACAAACTGAAGAGGAAGAGGACATCTACTATGTCAAACTGGAATTGAATGATCCTGGAACTGAAGACTCAGGCTTATACAAGTGTAATATTAGAAATACGCTTGGTGAGCTGAATGCTAATCTAACTCTAAATATTGAAATTATACCAGTTATCAAAGAGAAACCTAAAGTCATTAAAATTATTAAGAAAAAGACAGTTATCGTGGAATGTAAAGTTCTCAGTAAATTTGCACCTGACTGTACATGGTATAAAGAAGACGAAGCTGTTAAAGAAGATACACGACATAGCGTCCATGTTGAAAAATCCAAAGAAGTAAGTAGTAGAATTTAAAATAAAAAAATCATTTAAAATACCAATTATTTGTAGGGCGAATTTACTGTTAAATTAGAAATAAACGAAGTCGAAAAAAGAGATAAGGGTATGTACAAGCTGGTGGCCAAAAATGAAAAAGGTGAAGCAGCATCACAAACTGTTGAAGTGACTGAATTGCCTCCCGATGAAAAGCCTAAAGGAGAGAAACCTAAGCTCACCAAATTGACCAATATAGTAAGTAGATTACTTTAATTAATAATCCTCATATTCATCGTCATTTTATAGTCACTAATTAATAATGTATTTTTTATTAGATTACAGAGGAAGGCAAATCAATCGACTTCATCACTTCTCTCAAAATGGAGGACAAAACTGTCACAATTACATGGTACAAAAATACGACTATTATAAAGGAATCTTCAGATATTAAAATTACTTTTGATGGTACTGTAACGCGATTTAGTATTAGTAAATGTAAAGTGTCACATTCCGCTACGTACAAATGTGTTGCCAAAAATGAATTTGGTGAAGACGAAACAAGTGCTACACTAAAAGTGAAAGAAGTAAAAGACGAAGAAGAAGAAGAAGAGGAGGAAGAGGAAGAAGAATCCGAAGAGGTATTTATTTATTTATTAAAAAAATGAGCGTGAGTAGTTTTTGGATATCCAAATACCTACGACTGATTGAAAAACGCATGTGTACAAATGTGAAAACTAATTTTCATCTTTTACAATGTTAAAAAACTCTACTACCTACTCGATATACAAAAACGTATTTATACCATAATTTTTAGATTATTGAGGAAGAGAAAAAAGAGAAAAAGAAAGTAGAAAAGAAAGAAGAAAAGATAGAAGAAAAGAAAGAAGAAAAGAAAGAAGAAAAGAAAGTAGAAAAGAAAGTAGAAAAGAAAGAAGAAAAGAAAGAGGAAAAGAAAGAAACCAAAATTGAAAAGAAGGTAGAAAAGAAAGAAGAAAAACAAGAAATCAAAGTTGAAAATAAGGTAGAAAAGAAAGAAAAAGATAAGATAGAAGAAAAGAAAAAAAATAAAATAGAAGAAAGGAAAGATGAAGAAAAACTCATTATTAAGGTAACTACTTTAAATTGTTTATTAAAGCAATATCATTTTGAAATATTTGATAAAGAAATATTATTAAGCAAATCAACATTGTTTACAACCACATATATTATGTATATTCAATATACAAAAATGACATTTTGTTACCCAGATCTTGGGAAATTTAAGAAATACTTATTATTACTTATTGTATATACATGGTGTTTCATATACACATTTAGTTTTTGTCAGATTATTTCCAGAAATTTACGTTTTACTGTTTTTAATTTTGTTCAACATATTTTGTAATTTGTTAGAAGGATGAAGAAAAGAAGAAGGAAGAAAAAATCGTGGCTAAAAAAGAAGAGGTTAGTATAAATATCTGTAATGCACTGTCCTTGTTTTAAATGTTTGTGTTTGTCTATAGGAAAAAGAAAAGGTCGCGAAAAAATCTACTAGGACATCTTCTATCCAACAGGTAATAAGTTTTCATAAAGCATGCGATTTTAACTGTATCTAATTATTAAAATACTGATTAATTAGAATGAAGAAGCTAAATCAGAATCACGTAGAAGCTCAATTATACAAACTGAAGAAAAAGTTGTTAAAGATGGAAAAACTACTCGAAAATCTTCCTTCTCGCAAGTTAATGAGGAGAGTAAGAGTGAGTCCAGGCGTACTTCAATAGTAGACGAAAAGAAGAAGGTACACACTCAAAATATAATTAATAAAGAATTCGCAACGTATCTAACAAAAATTTCCTTTATGGCTGTAATATGGCAGTTTCAATATCTTCTTATCTGCAGCATCTCAATCTCTTGCAAATAACAAATATTTTTAATGGCTAATATTTAAAAGCTATTTCAATGTTAATTTCGCTAATTATTACTTTTTCTTTTATGCTTTTTTTGGTTCGCAATTGCATTTTTAGTCTATAAAATCTGTGAAAGTCAATCAAAAATTTTATTTCACAGATTATCAAAGACACCAAAAAGCTGGAATCTACTAAAGAAGCGGTGAGTATATTAAGTTTCTCAATTTTGTATTTCAAAAAGATCGGTCATAAAAATGTTCGCGATTAGATATTTATTTACGCCATCATAAAATATTTATTTATACACAGAAAACACCTGATATCCTCCCAACTAATCACATTGAAGATGGTTTTAAACTAAAAGACACCAAAAAAGAAAAGCCAGAAGAGAAAAAACCGGAAGAAAAATTAGCACCTGGCAAAACTACTACACGCAAATCTTTAACACCTGAACCAGAAAAAACTAAGCCAGTAGGTGACAAACCTACTTCACGAAAATCTCTAACCGCCGAAACTAAACCTAAAGATGAGATTCAACGAAAATCCTTAACTACTGAAGCCAAACTTAAAGATGAGGATAAACGAATATCATTAACCCCTGAATCTAAAGCTAAAGACGAGATTCCACGAAAATCTTTAACACCTGAGCAAACAAAACCTAAACACGATACATTAACACCTAAAACACTAGAACCTGAGAAACCTAAAGAAGAAAAACTTACCCCACAACCCGGACTGACGAAACCACAATTAAAAACGCCAGAACTTGTTCCAGAACAAAAACGGCCTCCTCTCGAGAAGGTACACACACTACTTTCCTTCTTCCTTCACACTTTACGCAGAATATGCCACAATTACATTTTACATCAGCGCGTTTCAAATGAATTGGCTTTTTAATTACCTATCGCAATTATCGATGCGTCATTCTTTGATTGGCTTTAAAATGCTATTAATATAGGACATGGCTCTCTATATCTTCTATAATAATTTAGCATGGTCATTAAGTATTATATACGTCTATCGCAGAATGAAAAATTACTTTTAAAGCCTAATCTACTTCTGCAGTTTTATTTTAGGAAATAACAATCAGTTACAGTATTCTTGCATGTTTTGCCTCTATCGTTTTTTGATACATAAAATCAACCTCTGATCCAAGACAATTTGAATTAGTTAACGAATAATTATTATAAAAAAGCAACTTGTATGATAATGTAAACTAAACTCTTGTAGATTGTAGTTATAACTTTGACTAAATCAATATAATTTGTTTCATGTTTCGTCTGTGCTGTCCTTAATTCTTATCCAGGCTGAAGCAAAACAAGAAACTGCAGCACTCAAAAAGGTAAGCTTAATATCCTTTGTCCTTTCCATTGAATATTATCCTCATTACTTAATCAAAATTCTTAATATCTTCGATTGGCATATTTTATAATAATTTATTTAATTATCTAGCCGTTCGAAAGACCCAAAAGGGTAATTCCACCTAAGGAAGAGGCTAAAAAGGGTTCGTTTTTGAATATTCAATTGAAACCCGTTACGCAAGAGGGTAAAAAGGCAGATAAAGCCGAAAAGCTTGACGTAGACCTGAAGGTAAAATTGAAGAAACACTCGGCTACCTTCTTTGCGTCTCTTTTTCTTTCTTCTCTCTATCTTTACTCTTTCTTTTTTTCTTACTTACTTTCTTCCTTTCTTTCTTTATATTAATTTTGATCTCCTTCTTATTCTGTCTATCTATGTAACTAATTATTGTACTCGTAACATTCTATCAATTTCAAATTTTATATTACTAACTTGTATTTAAGTTTTATTTCTTTATCTTCTTTCTCTTATTTTTTAATAATTCTATTCAAACAATATCTACTTAATATATATTTTTGTAAGCTACTATTATACTTTTATATAAATTTGTTTGTTACTAATATTTCTTATTCGTTTTGTAAGGAAAACTTTCATATTATTCTATATTGTTTATTCATCTTCTATTGCTTCATCTTTCTGCCATTTATGTTACAATGTCAAGAGTTTTACTAAAATACAGCTTCTAAAAATAATTATTCTAATTTTAACACATAAAGTAACAGGACCTAACTAGTTAGGAAAAATTAGGAAAAATACATTTTTATGAACTGATGTCGAAAGAGATGTAAAAACATTGAAATAACAGACCTCATAGATTGACTGATTTGATTACAAATAATTTATGTTATATTCCTTTATATATGTAGAAGGTGGATCATTATGCTGCACCCCTGACTCCCTTATAGTAAACCTAAAGTGGCATTCTATTTTTCGACATAGTCTTCTTCTACACTGATGCACTTGGTCCATCGGTGCTCTAACATATCAACAGCATCCTGAAAATTTTTTTATCCGACCTCTGCAAATCACTTATCTACAGCTTCCATCAGTTCACGATTACTGGAAATAATTTCCCCACGTAAGTTTTCTTTTAATTTGGAGAAAAGCCTGTAATCACTGGATACGAGATCTGGCGAACATGGTGGGTGCTCCATTAATTTAACGCTTGCTTGGTGTATAGCAGCCATGGCAATACAAGATGTAAGGTTGGGAGCATTATCCTTAACTTTTCTCGGCGTTTTTCTTCAAGAGCGTCTCGCAAAATAAATTGTATAGGCCCCTGTAATGCTCTGTTTTTGCAAATAGTCAGTCAGGATGATTTCTTCAGCATCCCAGAACAAAGACAGTAGAACCTTTCCAGCAGACGGCACGACTTTGAATTTGCGTGGAGGAGGAGAACCGCGATGAATCGTCCATGTAACACATCAACTAAGAAAGTTATCTTTGTCTGCTTAGTACCTTTCCAAAAGTCGCTTACAAGCCAACACCCGATTCAACTTTTTCATACCTGATTCTTTATTCAGAATGTGGTGCACCACATGATATAAGCCAATATCTTCTACAATGTCCCTCATGCGTACTCGTTGATGTTGCAGTACGATATCATGTACCTTTTTAATACTTTTGTTTGGTGTTACCGTTATGGGAGGGCTACCAGCATGCTGGTTTTCACATTTCCGCATTTAAAATCTAGACACCAGCGTTTGACTATGCCATACGAAACTGCAGACTCCCCAATAGTTGCCGCAAGTCTTCATGAATTTGAGTTGGCGTCATGCCTTTTTTCTGGAGGTATTTTATTGAGGCTCGTCCTATTTTTATGAACAATCACGACACACAATTCAAGAATTAGCCACAGCATAACAACGCTTTGAGATACAAAGTTGATATTGGGTAGATACGACCTACAAAAGTCAGTTAACTGTCAAAAATATTAATCACACTTATAACTAGTTTAGAAGCGGAGCATAGGGATCCACCCTCGTACTTTAAATTTATTTCTATCAAAATTAGAAAATATACAACCAAATGGTCCGCTAAGCACATAAGTTTATTTCCTAACTAGTTTTATAATTGGCTATTCTTATAGTCCCTCATCAAATTGCAAAAAATGCCTCGCCGTATTTTTTGCTTATTTGTAGTTGGATACAAGAAAGGAGAGTAAATAACATGTACTATGTCCCAAAGGTGAGAGCGGTCATGTGACCTGAGAAATTCAAAAATTCCATCGATAAGGAACTTTACTTTGAATTTTACGGGTCACATGACCGCTCTCACCACCAGGACATAGTACATATTGTTCACCTGCCTCTCCTCTGCTAAACTATAAATAGCACGCAAAAAACACGACGTGCCACTTTTTGCAGTCAGATGGGGGACTATCAGTAATTCAATAAAAATAATAAAAAAAAAATAATTAATTTATTGTTTAGCAAATCTACTGACCAAACGCTTATGTATTTTTCACCGATTAGAAACTATAATAAAAAGAACTAATACAATAATGGAAAATAAAAGTAGAATGCTCATATAAATCTATATTGCAAATAATTTTGAAAATTTGAGATTTTCATTTTCTACTCTTATTTAAAAAAAAACAAGTAATTAAATTGATTATACTTTTATAGTAAATAACCAACTTCTGTCCATCGCTTTCTTCTACTTCTTTAACTCATAGATTTCTTTCTAACTAAAAGTTAACAAACTTCCAAAATTAATTTAAGAAAATTTTATTAGAAATCGGCTGTTGATAAGGAAAAAACAACGGTCAAAAAATCCGCTAAAAAAGGAGAACAGGAAGATGTCAATGCATGGGAAAATATTCCTGATTATGAAAGACCTGTTTTGGAAAAATACGAGAAAGGTGATTCGTCAGAATATACTGGCAGAGAAAAAACGAAATTAGTAAAGGTAATTCTAGCAACGCGGCACTATTTCAGCTTCAGGAACGCACTAGTTTTTCTTCGATGCCAGTCACTAAGCTAATTTTTTAAAATCGGAGACAATTTAAAATATTCCTCCATCTACTTAAACTATATTACGCATTAGACGCTGCTTATTAGCAATTTAAAAAATTCTTTAGAGCCTTTCTAGATAAATAATTTTCATTCAGGAAAAACCAAGCCTAGCGTTTGAAGGTAAAGAAAAACGTCCATCACAGGCCACTCTTTCCGACACACCTAGACCTAGTCTTCCTCAAATTAAAACACCTGATGCTCCTAAGATCGAAGTGAGTAGAGAAAAAACCCCAGAACCCAGAAAGAAATCACTGGAACCTGGATCAGGTCCAGGAAGTAGAAGGGGTTCTCTCATACCACCCGAAGCTATGGGAAGGCGTGCCAGTCTTATCATCTCTGATGAGGTATATATAAACTTTTCTATTTCTAACATATTTTTTTATTCTTTAGCTGTGTCCGTTGGTGTCCCGTCAGTGGTGAAAAACTGTTTTTTTTATATTTATGTTTAAAATTTTATGTCTTAGGAAAAAAGGAAACTTCGTCCAGGAGAGGTTTTGGAGGAGAAAAAGGTAACCATCAGAATAATCTCCAGCATACGCCTGGCCTTATTAAATTCTTAATTACATTGACTATTTACCATACAAGTGGAAGTGCAAATATAAACTTCTTCTTTGAGGCTTTTTTTGTAACTTTGCAATATCTGTTTATAAAAATATTCTTGAAATCAATTAGATCTTTATCAGTTTATGCTTTATTTTTAAGAACGATATTGCAGGGTTATTGGTATTGAACATCTAGTTGTTAAGTCACGAAATCCAGCTGTGGCGATGCACCGACAAACTAATGCATTATGTGGTCGACTGTTATTATTCCAAAAATACGCAACACGCATGATTTACTACAGAGCACCTGGCAGGCAGCAGCCATCACCACTTACTTTTTCAGGGCATCGAGTATATATACACACATATAATACGTCAATACCTAGAATTTGAAAAATATATATTTATTTTTGAGATAAATTTCAGAATGTAAACACATCATTTTATTTAAATTCAAATCAATGATAATTTAGTTGCCAATTGTATAGTTACCTATGTCAACTACCATTGGTAGCTGGTAATATCTTTTTAATAGATATTCATATTCATTAGCCATTGAACTCGTATTGGCTGCAGAAAAAACAATTTGTCCACTGTCTCTCAGGTTCTTTTATTTAATTATTTGTTTCCCTTTATTCATTTAGGGCGTGGAAATATTTTGTTCATTCATACTTATATATACATACAGGTTAGGTAAGGTTGAAAATGAATGGATCTACTGTTGGTCATGCCTATAATATTATAGCTCACCATACAAACCACACCTTTGGTAGGCTCCAGTCGGGTAAAACCAAAGATCTGGAACATAATTATTTCCAAGGCGGAGCAGGTTCTCTGAAGATTCGTTTTTCATACTGCAGAAACGACAGTCCGATGTTTCCTGTAGACTTGTCCTTTTCATGTGGTTACCTAGGTCAATGTCCTGCCATTAGTCTCGTAAGAATGTTCCTACTTCACTTATTCAAGGGTGTTTGTTATAAAATCCTTCGAATGGGGTAATCCAGTACATCTCTGGGGCTTCTCTGACCAATTTGAGATGATTCCTTTGGCAGTACTCTTTGCAATGCCAGGAAATCGTTATATACCTACAAGGTGATTTAAAAGTTGATTTTTGCCTTTTATAGGATATCTGTGGACAAACTGATTTCGTATAGGTCAGATATATAATAAAATTATTTTAGTTGTGTACTGGCGACAAATTTTAGTGTTCTATGCAGGGTTTGTAAATAATGGCTTATTATCATGGAAACTATGAAATAGTGCTTGTGTTTATGGATTCACGCTAAACTAATGTGAACTCTGCACCTAACCTCAGAAAATGAAAATTTATATGGATGGGTGAATGCTGGGAAGGTTCACCATGAGCCATGCTACTATGGGACTAACGGTTAACTATTTAAAAAAATGTATATGACAATAGGGCCTTCAAATGGTGGCACTATAAGTCTGGAGGGATGTTGTGTCAGCATGCTTTAGACAGTTTAGGGTGATAGCAGGGGGTCCGAAGCATAAAATGAGAATGAACATGTGTATCAGAAAATATTGTCTGAGTATATACGTTTAATTTTTAATGGCTACCAAAGTCATATCAAGTCATCTTATGATAAATTTTATAAATCTGGATTTTTTAAAATACAAGTATTTATTGATGATTCATCGCCATCATTATTTAAACAACAGTTATTCAATTACTAGCTTGATGTTTACCAGACCTATCTAGAATTGATGTAGATTGTTAAAATCTTTTTAATAAATATAGATTACTACTGTTTTCCTTAAAATACAACTGGCAAAGAAATATATTGATTTGGCATAGACGAAAGACAAGTTTGATTTTTTATTTGTTTGTTAAAAATTGTCTAAAAATTTAATTATATTTTTCAATTTTATCCATATATAGGTACTTACTCTCAAATATATCCCCATTGAAATTATATTATATAGTTTGCAGACATAACAAAGATATGTAATATAAATAATTAATATTTTTTGATGGTTATTATATTTTATAAATTAATTAATTTGATATAATTATTAAATGTTACGTCTGAAAGCTGATTAAAATTATTGTTTTTTTTTTTGAATTGGTATTATCTTTATTATTATGCCCGCAGGGAGGAAAATTACGTCCTGGGGAAGTGCTAGATCCAAAGGTGAGGTTTGTGTCTAAGACAAAAACACAAAACTGACCTTGGGTGGGATATTTAACAGAATGTCTTGTCATTGCTTGTTTTTTTTTTTGTTTTGTACATGTATTAAGTCTTTTGTTTTCTTTTTATTTAAAGAAAAAGGGGAAACGTCCAGGAGTTATTGACCATCAGGTTAGGGTGAAATTAAATGTTGAATTCAAAGATTGGATTTTTAGAAACGTCAATAATACCTATATATGTTTGTGTCTAACGTAGATACAGATTAAACGGTTTTTCTCGAGAAACCTTGTTTTAATATACACGTATAGATTAGACCTATGTGAATAAAATACATGTTTACGAGAGACCAACTGAAGGCACATTACTACAATATTCTTCTTTGCCGTTAATTTTGACTTTTATGTTTATTTTTACTCAACATGCTTTTTATAATAAACATAAAAGAGAATCTAAAAACCCCGAATAAGTTAAAAATTAATCACATATATACTGCTGCATATTCAATGTAAAAAAACATTAATTTAGCTAAAAATAGTCATCGAATGACGATATGATCTTTTCAATAATATTTGAATGCAAAAAAATATCAACCTCGTTCTAACTTTTTTGTCGTCTGGTATTTATATAACTAAAATAGCTATTTAAGCATATATTTCAACCTTTTTGTAATCAACCATTTAACTACATAATACCTTGTATACATCTCTTGCTTTGTTATTCGTATCCTTCTATTATCCTTGTCTTTTGATGTTTTCTTAATATCGTTTTCATTGCTTTCAATTTTATATTTTTAAAAATTTTATTTCGGAAGTAATGACTGACTACTTCTCATAGGTATTTGATACGCTAAGACTAATGGTTATAACCTGTCTGACCAGCCAATATTTCAGCCTAGCAAGGCTGATCTTGTATATTTTTCCTCCTAATTTTTACATTGAATATTGCAACTATTCACTTAAAAACAGATTAATAATAAATAGTATATAAAAATTAAAAACAGTAATAATAATTTTGAGGAAATAAACGAAATAATAATAAAATAATAGATATATTGATTTGATTAGAAAAAGGTTCTTTACACTGCGTAAAGAATCCATATACTTAATATATAATAAAAATATAATCGAAAGTAGGAAGATTTTGTTGAAAAAATATTTTTTACTAGAATATCAATTGTTTGATTTAAGATTTACGATTGCACCTTCAGTAGCAAGATCCTTAGCAAAAGTCTGTTTCCGAATTAACAATCAAATTTTCTTTATACAAGTTCATTTATATCCACTTAAATTGTTACTAGATTATCTATCAATTATTTGATTTAGGATTTACGATTATATGACCTTCAGTGGCTCTCAATCTTTTTGTGTTATTTTTTATACAGTGTGCTAATAGAGTGTTGTGCTAGGGGTTTACCTAAAACAATAAAAACTGTCTAGAATAGAATTTACAAAAATGACATATAACGATATATAACTTCCATATGTACATTTTTATCAGTGTATATACTCGCAATAAATGTTTAATCAAGGAGCTGAATGTGCGCTAACACAAAATGCGCTTTTTAATTTATGCGATATTAATAATACTGCCTTTATAAAATAATAATGTAATACAGGGTGGACAGTTTTTGTACTAAAATTACTGTTGAACGAAATCATAAAAATAAATATTTAATGTTTTTCAAATCAAGTTTTATATGATACTTTAATATTTCTTAAAATAATGACATACATGAAATGTCCATTTTTTAAATTAAAATCAATGTAATAATAATTAGTTTAAATGCAAAATTTTATAATAGTTTTCCAAATAATAATTAAACTAAATACAAAAAAAAAATCCATCCTGTTTTTCAATCTTAACGTATTAATTTAAACAAAAAAAATAACAAAATTTTCAAATATAGCGTCGCCGTCCAAGTTCAGACGTACGTCGTCCAAGTGTGGCTGATTTAGAAGATCTTATTAATAAGCCATCAACGCCACTGAAACCGTCAGGCCCTAAAGGGGCTGCTCCTCAAATTGTGGATGTTCAAGAAAATTACTCATCTGTAGAAGGTTCGAAATTAGAACAATACTTTTTTATTTAGGTACATACTTAGTATTGAATTAATTTTAGATCAAACCGCTTATATGACCATTCAAGTAGAGGGCGACCCTGCACCAACATTTAAATTCTACAAGGTACATACATTCTATTTTCCATCTATTTACATAATTTTACGCTGTTTTTTTTTTTAGAATGTCACCGAAATTATTGAAGGTGGTAGATTCCGCTACGTAACCGATGGTGATTCAAATTTGATAACCCTTTGTATAAGAAAAGTAAAGCCTCAAGATGAAGGTCAATATAGAGTCATTGTTTCGAATATTTACGGTGAAGATTCGGCTGAAATGACGCTCTTTGTTGCTGGTAAGTTTATTTTCAAATTTCTTAAATAGTAATAAACGCTGTCGACACTGCTGCACTGCAGATATTGACGCACGACTCTGCCTGTGTCGTCTGACTCTCTTCAAACTACCAGGAAAGTTCCAGAACAATAATACGAGCCCTAAGCACTATATTTATGTTTGGCTATTTTATTTTCAATATTTATTAAGAAAATTCCTGTTAAATTGTTAAAAATATCGTAGATTTAACAGTTGTTGATTATTTTGACTATTATGTTGTGGAAAATAATGTGATATTTTAGCCGGTTTATGTCAACCCCTAGGAAACCGATATCGATTTCAAGGGGTCGGTATCAACCACTTTGGAAATCCCTGCAGTCTAGCCAATCAAATTTGAAAAGTATCACAGAGCTAACCCATTTCGTCATAGCGTCTATGAGGTTATAAATACTACCGCGTGGTCTGCTGTGCGTTTTTCAGAGGTTTTCTTAAAGCAATAAGCGAATGCTGCGTCAGCAACATCATCTCAGATACCTATTACCATTCCTTCCACTCCATCCCCTCATATCCGATTCCTGGACGCTCCAGTGAGGCTGAAGAGGCTAGGAAAACCCCAACACTGTTACTTTTTAAAAAATATAATAGCATATTGGTCTAAATTATAAAAAAGGCCGAACATATAGTGGTTAGGGCTAATAGATCTTGTGACCCTTTGCCTGTGATAATTAAATGAATATTAAACTTTCCTGTTGCATAAAAACCAATTTAGAAAAAATATATTTTTCTTAGAATTGTTTTTAAACCTGTGCATTGCTAAAATTTTAGGTGCCGGAGGTGTAGATTTTCGTTCTATGCTAATGAAGAGAAAGTATGCTAAATGGGACAAAGATAAGGAAGACCCAGATTGGGGTGATCTAAAAGAAACTGAAAAACCATTACCGGCACTTAAGAAGGTGGAAAAGGTACGTGAAAAATATTGTACTATAGTAAAAAATGTTTGGATTTCATAATATATAAAAAAAAACAAAGAATGAACTAATGACAAATGTTTAGTTTTAAAAAGTGATTATACTAATTCGGAAATTATACTTTTTTGAAATATTTATGTATGTAAAATCATAAAACATAATGCAGTAGCAGTCTAGGTTGAATAAATGTAACGTATTTTTGTCAAGATTTCATATTTTATAAACCAAGGAAAGATTTGAAAGATGTGCTTTACGTAGGAAAATTGAACACATTAACTTTAGGTCCATTTTATAATATTTACAAAGGAAGAAAGAATAAAATAATGGTTAATGGTGAATGTTTTTCATATTGGCATCTCTATTAAGTTTAAACAGTACCTATCTGTTATATCAAAAAATAAATAGATACCTATTTATTACTAAAGATTAAGTGATAAGATATTAAAAAGAAATGTTTAACTGATCATTTAAAACACATTTATTTCGCCCTGAATACGTTGTAAAAATAAAATCTTTAGTCAAATTCTTTCATAATTTCAACACTTCTAAAAATAGAAACATACTCATAAAACATCACGCTATACTTTTTCTATTGCTCTGTCCTTTTCTAACATCTTTATTTTCAAGATAAAAACTCAGAATCTTCGAATTTATAGAATTGATATACTCCATTTCACTCTGTGAAGTCAAAAAGAGAAAGGGATTAATTTGACTCAGTTTGCAACGACATGAATTTGAAATATTAACTGTTGTAGAATTTATATACCCTATTTCATTCCGTTCATAAGATTGATTGAAGTCAAAAAGAGTAAGGGGGTATTTTGTTTTAAAGTTGGCAACAGCAAATTACAATTCCAATGCAGCCAACACAAATAACAGACCAATCAAAGTTTATGTTCTTATCACAGAAAAATATTCGTTCTCTAAAACATCTTCGAGTATTTTAACCAGTGCAGACCTAAATAAATATAATTTTCTTTACCTTCTAATATAAGTATGCATACAAAGCATTCGTAAACCAACTATATTTATAAAAATCGTTAAATAATGTCATCTAATTTTATTTTGTGTCAAATAAAAAATAAACTTTACAAATTATCTTCGCACCATATTTATTCTACACTGAGAAGAAGGAAAAAATCTTGAGATCACTACACAGACAGCAAAAAATCAAGAAAAACAACTTGAAACAAAGGATAAATATTTTCTATATGATTCTACAGAGCCGGATTCAAACCAGCGAAAAGTATTTTCTAGAATTATTATTTAAAACGTTTCATTACATTCGAGAAATTTATTGCTAATAAATGTGATAAATACATCATTTTTATTGGTAACTTACGTTTGTCTGTAGTTTGACACAATAGGAATTTTAATTTTTATAATTTAACGTTACATACGTAAAACCTATAAGTACTTCTAAAGTATTTTTCCGAATCTGTATATTAGTATAATACTACAATTAGAGTTACTTTTGATCCAGAATACAAAAATTAAATATTTATGTTGAGTTTAGTATATAGGTGGTACTTTAGCTACAGTTTTCTTTTTATAGAATCCTGTACCCTCAAGAAGGCCATCATTGGCTGAGTTAATACCAGATTGGCCAATACTACACCACTTTGAAAAAAAGGAGGTTGGATGAAACAACTCCTATCCCTTTCTCTATGTTTAACCAGTTGCACGTAGACCTTGTACATATTATTTTCTTCACGAGTAAACGTTTCCAAATACTTGTATATTTGTTTCTCTATTTTTTTGAGAAACTATTTTTGTTACCAACAAATTTCTTCGTTTTAGTTGGTACTTTCTTTTTTTGTACATACACAATGTCATATATTGGGCGACTGTTTTATAAAACTTTATGCAGATCAATTTAAAATCTACCTAGGTATACTGTATCATAAATTATTAAACACTCTTAGTAGTTTATAAATAATACTATTGATAAACATATATTATTCTTAAATTTACTTACTATGCTTTTGAGATTAACAATATTTTAAATAAGTGAATTCAAATTGCACAATTTCTCTGGAAATTAATATTTTTTCATTGAGAGGTAAAGTTTTATAAACAAAATAAAGCTGTCGTAACTCCTATCTATAACAAATTTCAATTTAACTTCCCTTTCTGGTGTCAATTCTATGTTGTGCTTCGTCTACTGATGTCTTCGTATCTATATGTCCTGTAGATATTGATGTTCTCACATATTTTTATCTGTTTCAGTTGTATATATATATAAATAAATATTATTTTTACAGCTATAGCAATTTCTAATATATTTTTTTGTACATAGCATTGGTTAACACTCAACAATATACCTAATTAAAAATGATTAATAAATTTTGTTTCAATTTTATAGAAACAAGAAAGCTTCTTAAAACCATTGGTAGATCAATTTGCCAAAGAAGGAAAAGATAAAAAAGTTGTATTTGATGCTGCATTCTCAAAGACTAATTGCAAACCTAAGTGGCTCTTCAGGAAAGACGTAAGTAAAATAATCACTTACCCAATTTTTATATAAATGTAGTTTCTTGGTGACCATAATGTATTCCTTTCATCAAAATCTGAAATAAAAAATTGAGCATTATTATTTTCTGGCCCTATATCACTTTAGTCGAAATAATGAAGTTACTCTTTAGTGTACCTTATTTTGATTCAGTATAGCTTATAACATTAACACACAAATTTATAACTATATAGTTGTACGTATCTAATTATCAGTATTATATCCTTTTTATGTGAATTCTTTTTTAGGAACTCTTCCCTGGTTCTAAATATAAGTTTAAAAATGAAGGCGACATTTATCAACTTATCATTAGCAATCCAAAAGTAGAGGACACAGGAAAATACACAATTGAAATTGGAGGTGTTAGTTCAACTGGATTCCTGACGGTTGATGAACCAGATCCAAGCTACACCTTCACCAAAGCATTAAAGAAGAAGTATGACGGTTATACCAAACATGAAACTGAACTAGCATGTACTGTCAGTAGCAACTTAGCTATAGTAGGTTGGTTTAAAGGAGATAAGAAACTCGAAGATGGTGATAGATACAGTATTTCTAAAGATATTAACGGAGTTTGTAGACTCACTATCAAAGATTGTAGATTAGAAGACTCTGGTGATTACTCGTGTAAATTAGACAAACAACCCGACAAAACTGAGACAAAAGTGAATATTATAGAATACCCATACAAATTCGTAAAAGTACTCAAGCACCAACAGCATGTAGAAAAAGAGAATATAACCTTAGTTTGCGAGCTTAATGATGCTTGGGGTGATGTGCAATGGTTCAAAAATGGCGAAGAAATTAAACCTGATAAGAGAGTAGTAATTAGCAAAGATGGACGTAAACGAAAACTGGTAATTAAAGATGCTAAAGTTACAGACGCTGGTATGTACCAATGTACAACTAACGCAGATAAAACAGAAGCAGAAATTATTGTTAACTACTTGAACAGGTTTAATAAGAAACTTAAAAATACAGTTGGTGTTGAAAGAGAAAAACTAGTTATTGATATTGAATTGCAAGACTCAACTGCTCCATGTGAATGGTTCTTTAACGGGGAACTGATCGTTCCATCAGATAGAATTGAAATCAAAAACCTAGGTGGAGGAAAACACCAACTTATATTCAATAACCTAGATATGAGAGATAATGGTGAAATAAAATGCGTCTCCGGAAAACTTGAATCTGCAATGCAACTTGATGTCAAAAAGGGAGAAAGTAAACCTCAAATTGATTTTCCCTCTGAATTTGCTGCACCTATTAGCAAACCAATTATTCTTGATGTACCATACAAAAGTAAGTATTGTCACTATATTTAATATCTACTTGTCTAAAGTGAAAAATTTATAAATATGTGTTTATTTTTATAAAATTACAACTATTAAAAAACATGATTTTATAGTTGATGGTACTAGACAAACACCTATAGAGGCTAAGCTCATTAAGGACGGCAAAGTACTTCCGCTTAAAGACGTAGAAACCATAGTAACAGATGATAAGGTAATTTTCAAAATCAAAAAACCATCTAGAGATCAGTCTGGACCCTACCAAATTAAATTGTCAAACGGACAAGGAGAAGATGTTAAAGATGTTAAGATTACAATGCAAGATGTACCTAGCCCACCCGAGGATGTTAATGTATTTGACATATTCCAAGATAACTGTAAAGTATCATGGAAACCACCAAAAGACAACGGTGGATCTCCTCTCCTACATTATATTGTTGAAAGACAAGATATTAGTCTTAAAGGTTGGTTTTTTAATCAAATTCCAAATCTATTTTAAAACTTAAATGTCAATTTTGTTCAATTTATATATTTGTTGTTATAGCTGGGTGGGAAAATGTCGGTGAAGTAAAAATTAACGAACCAACGACATTTAAGGTAGAAAAATTAACACCTAAAAAAGAGTATAGATTTAGAATTAGAGCTGTAAATCAACTAGGTCCTAGTGAAGGGGCAGTCTTTGGTAAACCAGTATTAGCTAAAGATCCTTGGGGTAAGTATTGGAAAAATTATCGCTGTAATCTTGAATATACTGGGTTTCAAATTTATTTGAATAATTATGGATAATTTAAAACAGACATATATAATTTGATTCCCGGTATAATATTAAACAATACTTTTCATAATTTGTAAATGTCTTCAGTGTTGCTAACTCACTAGATGTTATGTTCAAAACATACAATTATGGATCACTTTCATTATTTAGATGGTATGTAGGGACTGAAACCATTTGTTTTATGTTCTTTTATCAAATTGTACTGTTAACATTAAAATGCACGTATTCGTATTGTTTTGCGTATGTATCAGTAACTGATGAAAAACTGGTGTAGTAAAGATTAATTTAATTATGTTAAACTAAACACACGAGTGAACTAAAATTTGGTTGTAAATAAAATTAAAATGAAACAAACTTTAACACATTACACAATTATTAAGTTTACCATTTTAAATACTAAATTAACTTGAGACCTATAAATTTAGATATGGAAAGACGAGTGCATTCTAATTACAGAGAATAGTGTTAGCAACACTAGGTACCAACTTGAACTGATTTTTATCAATAAGGAACATTTCAGATGAAGCCTCCAAACCTAAGGACGTTGAAGTTGTTGATTGGGATGTTGATCATGCAGACATAACTTGGACAACTCCTGATAGTGATGGAGGAGCCCCAATAACTGGTTATGTAATAGAATTCAAAGAAAAATTTGCAAAAGATTGGAAAAAAGGAATTGAAGTACCCGCTGATCAACTCAAAGGAACTGTTCCAAACTTGAAAGAAAACAGCACATATGAATTCAGAGTAAGAGCCATAAACAAAGCTGGCCCTGGTGAACCAAGTGACTCTACTAAACCAATCATAGCAAAATGCAGATTTGTTAAGCCATTTATTATTGGTAATGACCTCAACCCCATAATTATCAAGAAGGGACAAATTGTCAAGTATGATATTAAATATGGCGGTGAGCCTGAACCAGAAGTTCAATGGTTCTTAGATAAAAAAGAAATAAAACCTGATATGGAGGAAAGAGTAACTATTGATAAATACGAAAAAAATACAATTATAACAGTTCGTAGATGTACTAGATCTGACAGCGGTAAATACCGCTTAGTACTCACCAACAGCTCAGGTACTTGTGAAGGCATTGCAGAAGTTATTGTATTAGACAAACCTACGCCACCTAAAATTATAAATGTAGAAGAAATTCGTGCAGATCACGTAACAGTTAACTGGCAAAAACCAGAAGACATTGGCGGTACTGATCTAACAGGTTATATTCTAGAAAAAATGGATATGGATACTGGAAGATGGATACCGGCAGGTGAAGTAGGAGCGGGTGATAACAAATTTACTTTCAAAAATTTAACTCCTAAGAAGAAATACAAGTTTAGAGTAAGAGCTAAAAACAAGGAAGGCGAATCAGAACCTCTCGAAACTGATTTCATTCTCGCTAAAAACCCTTACGATGAACCCGGGGCACCAGGTCAACCAGAAATATTCGACTATGATAACAAGAGCGCTAGTCTGAAATGGGCTAAACCTGATAGCGATGGAGGTCGTCCTATAAGTCATTATACAGTGGAAATCAAAGATAAGTTTGCTGCCGATTGGACAGAAGTAGCTAAAACAACTGACGATACTCCAGAAATTGTTATACCTGGTTTGAAAGAAAATATGGTTTATCAATTCCGCGTGAAAGCGCACAATAAAGCAGGACCTAGTGTACCCTCTGCACCCACGGCAAACCACCTCTGCAAACACAAAAACTGTAAGAATTTTTTGTTTGATTTGCTTGATTTTTTTAATTATCGTGATAAGAAGATCATTTTTTTGAATACTAATATTTGCAGCGAACTACACAAAAACCTGTTCACAATAACCACTTTATTTTAATTTTTTTTAACAATTATTTTTTTAACTTTACTTTTTAGCAGTATTTTTAGTAGGTGGAATATATAAAAATACAACGATATTATGGAACATATAATGCAAATTAATTTAGCTTTTATTCCATAAAATTATAAGTCTTGATATTTTATTTATTAAATTATATTTTCAGGTTTTTCATCTGGTTTATAGTATTCCATTTTATTTTGTGGAATTGTGACGTTTCGACATATTTGTACAGATTCTAGATTATTAAACTTAACAATTTTTCCTAAATAAACTATTGTGTTACAGTAAAACCAAGGATAGACCGAGAAACATTTAAATCCGTTACCATCAAAGCTGGCCGTACACACAAATGGGCAGTTGACTTCATGGGAGAACCTCCACCGACCGTTAAATGGGTGTGGAGAGACGACATTCCATTATCAAATAGCGAACGTATCAAAATTGAAAATTTAGAATATCACACAGACTTTACGCTCACTAACGCTGTCCGTAAAGATTCCGGAAAATACACGCTTACTGTAGAAAACGTGAACGGCAAGGATACTGAAACTGTAGAACTAACCGTTTTGGGCAAGCCATCTGCTCCGGAGGGACCTTTAGTTGTATCTGATGTGACTGCAGAGAAGGCTAAGGTTAGCTGGAAAAAACCAGAAGACGATGGAGGTAGTCCAATTAAAGAATATGAAATTGAAAAAATGGATACAGCAACTGGAAAATGGATACGTGTCGGCCGAGTACCTGGAGATAAACTGTCTCCAGATGGCAAAGGAGAGTTCGAAGTTACTGGACTTATTCCCGGCTCCGAATATAAATTTAGGGTAACAGCAGTAAATGCAGAAGGTGATTCTGAACCTCTTGTATCCGAGAAAGCAATTGTTGCGAAGAATCCGTTCGGTGAGATAATTGTCGTAATAGCATATATTTGAAATAACTTTGATTACCTAATTTTTATTTCAGATGAACCCGGTAAACCAGGTACACCAGAAATCGCAGATTATGACAATAAAGGAGTTAATCTCAAGTGGACTCCACCTAAGAATGACGGTGGTGCTCCTATTGAAAAATACATCATTGAAAAGAAAGACAGATATAAACCAGATTGGGAGAAAGCTACTGAAGTATCAGGCGATCAACTAGAGGCTCGTGTTGAAGATTTGAAAGAAAGGGGCGAATATCAATTCAGAGTTATTGCTGTAAATAAAGCTGGCCCTGGCACACCCTCTGATGCATCAAAAATGCAAATCGTCAAACATAGATCACGTAAGTAACTTAATCACACAATATGAATTATATAACTCTAAATCTGTAGCACATATCACAAAAAAGGGAGTCTAGGTGCGACATTTTATCCGATTATTTCTAGAGACTCATTGTGGTAATGAGAGGATGCCATCCATAAACATCGTTAATATCGTTGCAGTTTTTTAACCTAGTTTGAACCAATACCAAGATTCTACTTTTGGACAATAAACCTACAACAGCAATTCTACCACTCACATTTTCACATGTTCTGATATTATGGGTTCTACTTTCACTAAGCCTCAGTAAGTTAATATTCTCATATGGAGGCTTGCCACCTGACATCACCAATCACTAAATCCCATTTAATGATCATACAATAGATTTCTCGTGACTGCCATATTACATCAATTTCAAGCATCCCCAGATTATTTCTACAAAACAACACTGCCCGTCTCCAACAACCGTCTGGACCAATTCAGCCGAAGCACTTGACATACAGTCCACATTTATTGAAAACTCGGCAAACTTTCTTAATCTCATATAGATTGGCCTCATAGTACTTAATTTTTTATTATTTTAATTTTTATTAGTTTTCGTTTAACAGTAAGTTTTAAATACCATATCTCTCATCTAGCCACTTTTATTAAATACGTCGTTTGTCACCTTCAAACAACATACCACGGTTTCTATTAATATTGTAATAACCTCATTTAATATGTAAGTATGTAACTTACAATTTGTAATCTTCTTATAACGTGATTAATTTGTGACGTACCTAGACCCCATTTTTTAAATATATGTGGTCCAGATTTAGAGTGTATTATTCAAATTGAGTTAAATGGATACTTTTCTAACTTTAATCACACAAGTTCTTATTCATAATTATGTGGTATTCGTTTTAGTTAAACCTAGGATTGACAGGACTAACCTTAAACCTATTATTGTCCGCGCTGGTAAACCAATAAAATACGATGTCGACGTTAAAGGTGAACCAGCACCAACGTGTACGTGGTATCACGTTGACCAAGAAGTGAAATCTGAAGGAAATATTGAAATTATCAATGTTGACTATAATACTAAACTTAATATTACCAACTCAATTAGAAAACATACTGGCGTATACAAAATTAAAGCAGTGAACGAACATGGCTCTGACGAAGCTGAAGTAGAAGTAACGGTACTATCTTCACCTGGAAAACCAAAGGGTCCATTGAAGGTAACCGATGTTACAAAAGGAGGATGTAAACTTAAATGGGAAAAACCAGAAGATGATGGTGGCAAACCTATCACTGGCTATCAAGTCGAGAAATATGATAAACAGACTGGACGTTGGGTTCCTGTTGGTAGAACAACTGATACTGAAATGGACGTTAAAGGTCTACAAGAGGGACACGAGTATGATTTCCGCGTTAAGGCTATTAACGATGAAGGAGAATCTGAACCACTTGAAACAGATTCATCTATTGTTGCTAAAAATCCCTACGATATTCCTGGTAAACCGGGTACTCCAGAAATTACTGACTGGGATGCTGACCGCGTAGATTTGAAATGGGAAGCACCTAAAAGCACCGGTGGAGCACCAATTACTGGATACGTTATTGAAAAGAAAGAGAAATTCTCTACTACTTGGGATGAAATTCATTCTACGGATGTAAGTACATTAAAACATTTAAAAGTAGTTTTTTATATAATATACTCAACTATTTTACATTAAACTGAAAATTATAGGGACCAGCATGCGACGCTCGCGTACCTGGGCTCAAAGAAGGCAACACATACCAGTTCCGAGTTAGAGCAGTTAATAAAGCTGGTCCTGGTGAACCAAGCGATGCTACAAACCAACATGTGGCCAAAGCCAGACACTGTAAATATAATAATATTAACTGATTTTCATTTTTATTAATTTTATTTATTTTAGTACGACCACTTATCAATCGTGAAAAATTACATACTATCAAAGTTCGAGCTGGACAGCTCGTTAAATTTGACGTTGATGTAAAGGGTGAACCCCCACCAGTTTGCACATGGAGCTTTGCTCATAAACCACTCGAAAATGGAGGTAGCATTAAGATCGAAAACGAAGATTACAACACTAAACTTTCTCTAAGTGACACAAAGAGAAAAGACACGGGAACCTACACACTCAAAGCAGAAAATGATTCAGGATTTGATGAAGCTACCGTTGAAGTTATCATCTTAGATAAACCAGGTAAACCTGAAGGACCACTTGATGTTACTGAAGTTCACAAAGAAGGATGTAAACTCAAATGGGACAAACCCAAAGATGACGGTGGTTTACCAATAACTGGCTACGTTATTGAAAAACAAGATACTCAAACAGGTCGCTGGGTTCCCGCAGGATTTGTCGATGGCGACAAACTTGATCACCAAATTACCGGGCTTGAACCTAATAAAAAATACAACTTTAGAGTAAAAGCAGTGAACGAAGAAGGCGAATCAGAACCTCTTGAAACAGATACTGCCACGCTTGCTAAAAATCCCTATGATATACCAGCACCTCCTGGCCTGCCAGAAATTGTTGACTGGGATGAGAAATCTGTTAAACTTAAATGGGACAAACCGGTTAGAGATGGTGGATCTCCAATCTCTGGATATATTATTGAGGCTATGGATAAATTTGGTGGACAGTTCATCAAAGTTGCAGAGGTGGGGCCACAATGTAACGGAACAGTGCCAAGACTCGAGGAAGGAAATCAATACAAATTCCGTGTACGTGCTGTAAATAAAGCAGGTCCATCAGATCCTTCTGAACAAACCAACTGGCATACAGCTAAACCAAGATTCTGTAAGTATACATTTTTAAGGTTATGTGGCATTATATTCATGATGTGTATTTTATTTTAGTGAAACCACTTATCGATCGGACAAACTTAAAACCATTGCAAATAAAAGCAGGGTTGTCTATTAATTTAGATGTTAACATTCAAGGTGAACCCCCGCCAAAAGTAACATGGTTATTTAACGGAACCGAACTTGCGTCTTCAGACGAATTACGTATTGATAATATAGATTATAATACCAAACTATTTGTTCTTAAAAGTAAGAGAGTACATGCAGGCAAGTATACGATTATTGCAAAAAACGAAGTAGGTGAAGATCAAGCAGATATTGAAATTTCTGTACTCGGCAAGCCTAAAACACCTAAAGGACCACTTGAAATAAGTGATGTCACTAAACATGGATGTAAACTCAAATGGAAAAAACCAGAAGATGACGGTGGTTCGCCAATCGATCACTATGAAATTGAAAAACTTGATCCACTCACTGGTCAATGGGTACCTTGTGGCAGAAGCACTGAACCAGAAGCCAATATTACTGGTTTACAAGAAGGTAAATCATATAAATTCAGAGTGAAGGCTGTTAACAAAGAAGGAGAGTCAGAGCCTCTCGAAGCTGAAAGGACCATTATTGCCAAGAATCCATTTGGTAAGTATTTATATTTGACAAAAATGATCAACATTCAAAATTTCGCTTTTTGTAGATGAACCCGGTAAGCCCGGTCGCCCAGATCTTAAAGATTGGAGTAAGGACTTCGTAGAGCTTGCATGGAATCCGCCAGCTAGTGATGGAGGTGCACCAATCCAAAAATATATTATCCAGATGCACGATAAAGCTGGTCGTGGCTGGGTTGATGCTGGAACTGTCCCTGGAGAGAAAACTAATGGAAGAATTGAAACAGTGGAAGAAGGCCACGAATACGAATTCCGAATTGTAGCAGTTAACAAAGCAGGACCTAGTGAGCCAAGTGACCCATCTAAACCTGTCATTGCTAAACCACGATTTTGTAAGTTTTATAAACGTAATATTGATTTTAAATAAATGATTTTTTATTTACAGTGGCTCCCAAAATTGATCGTAAGAACCTTGGCAAAAAGGTTATGCGTACAGGACAGTTATTACGTCTGGAGGCTGACGTTCAAGGTGAACCAGCGCCAGTTGTCGTATGGACTTTAAAAGAGCAAACGCTTAGGAATACTGATAGAATTAAAATCGATAATGAAGACTACCATACCAGTTTTGTTATGAAAAGTGTACAAAGAAGTGATACTGCCACTTACACTGTCACTGCTAAAAATGATTCGGGCGTGGATACCGTTGAAATAGAATTACAAGTAGTATCCAAGCCATCCAAACCCAAAGGTCCCCTCAAGGTATCTGATGTATCTGCCGAGGGATGCAAACTTAAATGGGAAGCTCCTGAAGACGATGGCGGTGAACCTATTACTGGATACGTTGTTGAACGTATGGATGTAGAAAGTGGACGATGGGTACCAGTAACTACTACAAAAACACCAGAAGCAGACGTTACAGGACTGAATGAAGGAAAAGATTACCAATTCAGAGTTAAAGCCGTTAATTCGGAAGGTGAATCTGAACCTCTAGTAACCGATGTCCCAACTACAGCCAAAAATCCATATACTGAACCCGACTCTCCCGGCAAACCTGAAATTAAGGATTGGAACAAAGATCATGCTGATATTAAATGGACTCCACCCAAAAATGATGGTGGTGCACCTATTGAGAAATATATTATAGAAAAGAAAGATCCAGTTACAGGAAAATGGCAAAAAGCTCTTGAAGTACCTGGTAACAAAACTGATGCTAGAGTACCTGATTTACAAGAAGGCCAAAAATATTCATTCCGCGTTAAAGCAGTTAACAAAGGAGGTGAAAGTAAACCTTCTGTCGCGTCAGACACCATTACTGCCAAAGACAGATTTGTGCCACCCAAGATCGATCGTACCAACCTTAAAGATCTCACAATTAGGGCTGGTCAACATATTAGATTAGATATCAAAATCAGTGGCGAACCTCCACCAACTAAAACATGGTTCCTCAATAAAGCTCGCATTGAAAATCGCGATGATATTAATGTAGATCTTGAAGATTACAGAACAAAACTTGTAATCGGAGTTGCTAAACGAGAACACACTGGTACTTTGACAATAAAAGCTGAAAACGACTCTGGAAAAGACGAAGCTAGCATCGAAATCAAAGTTTTGGACAAACCTTCTAAACCTGAAGGACCACTTAAAATCAGTGATGTCCACAAGGAAGGTTGTACTCTTAAATGGAATCCACCACAAGATGACGGTGGGGTACCAATTGAGTACTATGCTGTAGAGAAATTAGATACTGCCACTGGCCGTTGGGTTCCAGCAGGTAGATCTAAAGATCCTAAAATCGAATTGAACAATTTAGAACCTGGACAAGAATATAAATTTAGAGTATCTGCTGTAAACGCAGAAGGCGAATCAGAACCTTTAGAAGCTGAACACACTATCGTTGCTAAAAATCCATTCGACGAACCTGGAGCTCCTGGTACACCAGAAGTTACAGACTGGGACAAGAACCGTGTAGATCTAAGATGGACTCCACCTGCGAATGATGGTGGATCTCCAATCACTGGATATGTTATTGAAAAGAGAGAAAAAGGATCACCTAAATGGATTAAAGCTAGTGAAACTGGACCACACGAAACAAAGGGAACCGCTGATAACTTAGATGAAGGTGTCGAATATGAATTTAGAGTACGTGCTGTTAATGCTGCTGGTCCTGGCGAGCCAAGTCAAGCATCAAAATCTGTTATTACGAAGCCCAGACGATGTAAGTAATAAATAAATAATTAAAAATGTTTTATGACAGTATATTAATTTGATTGAAACTAATTTATTTACAATAAATTAAATTAATCATTTTGATTTTAAGTGGCTCCAAAGATTGATCGCCGCAACCTACGCAATCTAACGGTTAAAGAGGGCGAACCAATCTATATTGATGTTAAAGTCAGTGGGGAACCAGCTCCCGATGTTTCATGGTACCAAGATGGAAAGACTCTCAATCAAACATCTCACAAACGTATTGATAATATCCCTTACAACTCCAAGTTCTTCAACGATAAACCCGAACGTAAGGACACTGGAGTTTACAAAATTGTCGCTATGAACAAGTATGGACAAGATCAGGAAGAAATCGAAATAACTGTTGTATGTGAGTATTATAGATTATATGTTCGTTGTTTTAAAAGATTACCGAAGAACGCAATCACTCTATATCACTTCTTTATTTAAAGGTTTAATTCTTTTATTACTTTTGTTACATAGCGAAACCAGGACAACCCGAAGGTCCTTTGGAAGTATCTGATATTCACAAGGACAACTGTACATTAAAATGGAAGAAACCCAAAGACGATGGTGGAGAACCCATTGAGAATTATATTGTTGAGAAATTCGATCCTGAAACAGGTATATGGTTACCAGTAGGAAAAACTAATGGTGCTGTACCAGAAATGAAAGTAGAAGGCCTAACTCCTGGCCATGAATATAAATTTAGAGTAAAGGCAGCAAACAAAGAAGGTGAATCAGAACCTCTTGAAACAATTGGAACAATTACCGCCAAAGACCCTTACAGTAAGTATATCGTTATACATAAAACATTATTTATTAATTGATTATTAAATTGTAGCTACTGCTGGAAGACCAGGTACTCCAGAACCAGAAGATTGGTCTGCTAATCATGTGGATCTTAAATGGACCGAGCCGATATCGGATGGTGGTTCACCTATTACAGGTTACATTATTGAATTGAAAGATAAATATAGTCCTATTTGGGAAAAGGCTCTGGAAACAACAACCCCTAAGGCAGCTGCTACTATACCTGGATTAATTGAAGGAAATGAATATCAATTCAGAGTAATTGCTGTAAACGAAGCTGGTTTAAGTCCTCCATCAGAAGCCAGCAAAACCTTTAAAGCTAAGCCAAGATTCTGTAAGTACAACATAATCTCATTCAAGACTTTCTGTTTCTAAAAATTGCTCGTCTCTAGTATCTACAGTATTTATTTTATCTCATTTCAGTGGCACCTAAAATTGACAGACGATACCTACATGACGTTACAGTTTCTGCAGGATCACCACTTAAATTTGAAGCAAATATTATAGGAGAACCTCCACCAACAGTGGAATGGCGCTTTAACGGCAACGTTCTCAAAAACGATAACCGTACAACTATCGATAATGTCGACTATAATACGAAAATGGCTATTCGTCCAGTTGGTCGCGATGACTCTGGAGAATACAAGGTCACAGCTTCTAATAGCTCAGGCAAAGATACACACATAATCAATGTTACCGTTACTGGTATACCCACTCCGCCTCAAGGACCATTACAAGTATCCGACGTCAATAAAAATGGATGCAAACTTAAGTGGAAACGACCTAAAGATGATGGTGGCACTCCCATCGAATACTACCAAGTTGATAGAATGGATCCTGAAACTGGATGTTGGGTACCATGTGGAAGAGCTAATGAACCAAGTGAGTTTTTCAAAATTATTTTGTTCTCTCATCAAAGCAATATTATACTGAAGGACTAAAAATCTCTTATGTACGCTCTACACTCGCGCCAGGATGCCGCAGTTTGAATTCTTTACGTGAATGGCCTTGAACGTCGCGGCCAGACAGCTGTCACTTCTTCTTTTAATTTTAGTGAATAGGACCAAAAACCATCTACACTCGTGTAGCCGGCTTTAAATATATTCCGTCTCATTTTTTCCTTCTATCATTGACTATCCCCTAAACTTCTAATATTTTATTTACTTTATTTTTCAGATTTCGACGTAACAGGGCTGACGCCAGGCCATGAATATAAATTCAGAGTAGCCGCTGTAAATTCTGAAGGAGAATCCAAACCTTTGGAAACTGAAACAACAATTGTTGCTAAGAATCCATTTGATGAACCTGGTGCTCCTGGTCACCTTCAGGCTACTGACTGGGACAAAGATCACGTTGATTTGGCATGGACTCCACCCAAAGACGATGGGGGTTCACCCATAACTGGATACATTATTGAAAAAAAAGATAAATTTGGTGATTGGGAGAAAGCCATGGAAGTTCCAGGTGAACAACTTAAAATTACGGTGCCAGATCTCATTGAAGGCCAACCTTACCAGTTCCGTGTAAGAGCAGTTAATGCGGCAGGTCCAGGTGATGCTAGCAACGAAACACCAACAATTATCGCCAAACCACGTAATTTAGCACCAAAGATTGACAGAACTAACCTTATTCCAGTTAAAATACGTGCTGGACAAAACTTTGGATTTAACGTTAAAGTATCTGGTGAACCAATGCCAACCACAAAATGGCTGATCAAGAATAAAGAACTTAAAACTGGTGAAAAAATGAAAGTACAACATGGAGAATATAATACCAAAATAAATATTAAGAATGCAAGCCGTGCAGAGTCTGGAACTTACACTGTAACAGCAGAAAATGCAAACGGAAAAGATATTGCTGAAGTAGAAGTAATAGTGTTGGATGTTCCCAGCCCACCAGGAGGACCACTAAAAGTATCTGATGTACATGCTAATGGAGCTAAACTTAACTGGAGACCTCCAGCTGATGACGGTGGTCAACCTATTGAAAGTTATATAGTGGAAAAGATGGATGAAGCCACTGGTAGGTGGGTAACCGCCGGCGAAACTGATGGACCAGAAACATCTTTATCTGTTGATGGCTTAGTCCCTGGTCACAAATATAAATTTAGAGTTAGAGCTGTAAACAGGCAAGGCAAGTCCGAACCATTACAAACAACTCAAGCTATTGAAGCTAAAAATCCATTTGATGAACCTGGTAAAACATCTGCTCCAGAAATTATCGATTATGACAAAGACTTTGTGGAACTTAAATGGGACAAACCAGAAAACGATGGTGGTTCACCAATTACTGGATATGTCATTGAAAAACGTGACAAGTTCAATCCCAACTGGGAAAAATGTGCTGAAGTTGAAGGAGACATACCCAAAGGAAAAGTTAACGACCTAATTGAAGGAACACCTTATGAATTCAGAATAAGAGCTGTTAATAAAGCTGGTCCAGGTGAACCAAGTGCCTCATCTAAAATCCATGTTGCTAGGCCCAAGAATCGTAAGTTACTTCTACATAATATTATTTTTCAAATAAACTTAAAAGTGTATGATGTATATATTTTGTGTCTAAATTTTGTTTTTTAATTTGTAGTTGCTCCAAAAATAGACAGGAACTTCTTCGCAGATCTTAAAATTAAAGTTGGTGCCACAATTGAATATAATGTACCTGTTATTGGAGAACCACCACCGACCAAAGAATGGAAACACAAAGAAGATGTTCTGTTTAATAACGACCGTGTTAAAATAGTTAACGAAGACTACAAGACATCTATTAAAATAATTGACGCTAAAAGATCTGATAGCGGACCATATACATTAACGATTAAAAACAGTAATGGCAGAGATGAAGCTACGGTAAAAGTCACGGTACTTGATGTACCTACTCCACCAGAGGGGCCACTTAAAGCAGACAATATAACTAAGAGTTCGATGACTCTCCACTGGAAACCACCTAAAGATAACGGTGGTTCAGAAATTAGTCATTACACAGTTGAAAAACTTGACACAGAGAATATGAGATGGGTACCATGCGGAGAAGCTATTGGTACATCTTTGAGAGTGGATCATTTAAGTGACGGTCACGACTATCAATTTAGAGTTAAGGCAGTCAATAAAGAAGGAGATTCCGCTCCGTTGCAGACTACAGAAAGCATCACTGCTAAAGATCCATTCACAAAGCCAGATAGGCCTGGAGTTCCACAAGCAACTGATTGGGATAAAGATCATGTTGACCTTGAATGGACTCCACCTAAAAAGGACGGAGGTGCACCAATCACTGAATACATAATTGAAAAGAGACCCAGGCATGGTATTTGGGAAAGAGCTTGTGAAGTTCCTGGAAATACACCCAAAGCGACAGTACCTAATTTAGTTGAGGGAGAAGAATACGAATTCCGAGTAATTGCTGTAAATAAGGGAGGCAATAGTGATCCAAGTGAAGCTAGTCTCCCAGTTATTGCTAAACCAAGATTCCAAGCGCCTACGTTCAACAAGAACCTTCTTGAAGACATTACAGTAAAGGCAGGCCAGCGGTTTGGTTGGACAATTCCTATCGAAGCATCTCCCAAACCAACAGCTAAATGGGCTGTTAATGGCAAAGAAATTACAGCAGATACTAGAATTGATATGGCTGTCTATAATAATAAAGTATCTTTCGATGTTTCATCATCGTTGCGCACAGACGCTGGAAGATACACTTTAACATTAACTAATGACCTTGGCAGCTTTAGTGCTTCTGCCCAAGTGACGGTAATAGATAGGCCTAGCCCACCACAACCACCACTAGATGTCAGTAGTGTTACGAAAGACAGTGCAAGACTTAGCTGGAAACCACCACTCGATGATGGTGGCTCTCCCATCTTACATTATATAGTTGAGAAAATGGATGTATCACGTGGTACTTGGTCCGACGCTGGAATGGCTACGATTCCCTCCCACGATATTACAAGATTAATCCACCGTAAAGAATACTACTTTAGAGTCAAAGCTGTGAATGCTGTCGGCGAATCAGAACCATTAGAGACTCAGAAGAGCATAATTGCTAAAAATGAATTTGACGAACCAAGTTCTCCTGGTAAACCAGCGGTTACCGACTGGGATAAAGATCACGTTGATTTGGAATGGACTCCACCCAAAAGCGACGGAGGCTCTCCAATTACTGGCTACATTATCCAAAAGAAAGAGAAGGGTAGTCCTTATTGGACAAATGCCGTTCACGTACCTGCAAGTAAGAATAAAGCTACAGTACCCGATTTAACGGAGGGACAAGACTATGAATTTAGAGTAATCGCCACCAATACTGCTGGACAGAGTGAGCCGTCAGAACCCTCTGATCTGGTTACAGCAAAAGCTAGATTCTGTAAGGCAACTTTAAATGTTTATTTTACAGGCAATAATATATTTTATCTTCATTACAGTGGCTCCTAAAATCAAAACTCCTCTTAACGATATCCGCATTAAAGCTGGACTTATTTTGCATATTGACATTGATTTCATTGGAGAACCATGTCCTGAAGTTACATGGAGTGTAGGAAGCAAATCATTGACAGCTGATGAACGAACAACTGTAACTTCAATTGGCTATCATACAACTATACATACTGTAAACGCTAGACGTACTGACAGTGGTTTGTATCATATTTTGCTCAAAAACAGTTCGGGCATTGATGAAGGATCATTCCAAGTAACAGTTCTAGGTAAGTATCATTCTGAGACAAAAAGTTTCTGTACAGGATTGATAATTTACAATTTGGCGAAAGAATATATTTACATCGTCAGTAAATACAAACCTGTTAAGAAATGTACAGTCTATAAGTATGCTTATTCGTACTATTCCTAAATTACGATTTCTATTCCGAACTCTTACAGGATATGGTTAATACAAAGGGTAATGTCACACTAATATCAGTTCAGTTAAAATAATTATGATTTTCGGTTTTTAGATCGTCCAGGACCACCTCAAAGACCAATTGAATATGAGGAAGTAACTGCACAAAGCGTAACATTATCATGGAAAGCACCTAAAGATAACGGTGGAAGTGAAATTACGTAAGTAATTTTAGTTTTTAATGTTTTATTAACAATTGCCAAATATTTTATGATTACTTTAGGGGATACGTAATCGAAAAACGAGACCTAACTCATGGCGGTGGATGGGTTCCAGCTGTAAACTACGTTAACCCTAAATACAACCACGCAATTGTTCCTAGACTTCTGGAAGGAACTAAATATGAATTCAGAGTCTTTGCCGAAAATATGCAGGGACGCTCAGATCCCCTGGAAACAGAGAGACCTATTGTTGCCAAAAATCAATATGGTATTCAATTTTCAATTTCTATTTGACATAGAATCTTAAAAAATATATTTTTTAGATGTACCTGGAAAGCCTGGTAAACCAGAACTTATAGATAGTGACAAGGATCACATAAAAATCAAATGGGCTGCTCCTATTAGTAACGGCGGTTCTCCTATTGTTGGTTATAACATCGAACGTCGTGACAAGGCCACTGGCAGATGGATTCAACTTAACAAGGAACCCAACAAAAATACTGAATTCTACGATGACAGAGTACAAGAAGGTCACCAATATGAATACCGTGTATCTGCTGTAAATGCGGCCGGTCCTGGAAAGCCAAGTGATACTTCAAACGTATTTGTTGCCAAACCAATGAAAGGTAGGTTTTTCTCTACACCAAATAATTTATTAAAGGCTTGGGAAATAAGTTATAACTTTACTTTTTAGAAAAACCAAAATTATGGCTCGATGGTATTATTGGGCGTAAAATAAAAGTCCGCGCAGGTGAACCAATTAATATTAACATTCCTTTATCTGGTGCTCCAGCTCCAAAATGTGAATGGTCGAAGAACAAAATTACTGTACCAGAATCGAACCGAATATATGTACGTAAATGAACTGTTTCCACCCTTCGAGATGTTCACTTTTCCTAACAACCCTCTAATTTTAAAGTAATAAAATAATGACTGCTAATGAATTATGTATTACACCAAAAGTTACATATCAATAGGAATAGTAAATATATCGTCGGATAAAAAATATTTTATGCATTTCTAGAGTAATATGGGTTGACACTCTAAGCGTGTTACGCTCTCGACTTGACCACGGGCGTAAACGACGCGCTTCGACTGTAAAAAACCACATTACTTCCTATATGCGTAAATAACTAATATAATCCGACTCAATTCCTAACATTATTTTTATTTTAGACTGAAACAACCAGTGAAAATACCAGATTTCGCGTTGAAGCATCTAATAGAGATGACACTGGCACTTACACTATTCGAGCTTCAAATGAATACGGAACAGATGAAGCTGATATCGAAGTAATCGTTGTGGACAAACCAGGAACCCCAAGAGGCCCCTTACAATATACTGCTACAACTCAAGATACAATTTCATTATCCTGGAATCCACCAGACGACGATGGTGGCGGCGATCTTACAGGATATATAGTAGAAATAAGCGAATTTGGAACGGACAGCTGGCGCCCATGTCCAGGCTTCTGTCCTAAACCTTCATTTACTGCTCGCGGACTAACCGAAGGAAAGAAATATATATTTAGAGTTCGTGCAGAGAATATTTATGGAGTTTCTGAACCATTAGAAGGCAAGCCTGTGATTGCAAAAAGTCCATTCGATCCTCCTGGTGCGCCAAATAAACCAGAAATCACTAACTATTCTGCATCTACTTGTTCTCTAAAATGGAAGCCACCAGCTTCAACCGGTGGAAAACCAATCACAGGTTATAATATAGAAAAACGCGAAAGGGGTGGCGACTGGGTTAAAGTTAACACATACCCCACACCAAATACTCAATACACCGTTCAAGACTTGCGGGAGGGTAATAAATATGAATTCCGTGTAGTTGCTGTCAACGAAGCTGGTCCTGGAGAGCCAAGTGAACCAACTGAACCAATTATTGCTCAACTACAAAGATTTAAACCAGATGCTCCTGAACCACCCAAAGCCGATCGTATTACAAAAGACAGTGTTACCTTATCCTGGAGACCACCTAGAAATGATGGTGGATCTAAAATCAGAGGTTACATCCTACAGAAACGTCCAGTGGGCTCTGATAATTGGACAGACATTAACTCAACGCCAATTAATGACACAGTCTATTCAGTACCTAATTTAAAAGAAGGTGAAACTTATCAATTTAGACTGATTGCAGTTAACGACGTAGGTAAATCTGAACCCAGCAAACCTAGTATAAACATTAAAATTGAAGAACAACCTAATAAACCTCGTATGGATCTGGGAGGTGTTCGCGATATAACAGTTAGAGCTGGTGAAGATTTCAGTATTCATGTGCCATATATTGGTTTTCCAAAACCAACAGCTGCTTGGTTTGCTAACGATAAACATCTTGATGAATCTGATTCTAGAGTATTTCCACAACTTGCAGATGACTATGCTAGTATCATTGTAAAGAACTCAAAGAGAACAGACAGTGGACAATATAGACTTCAACTTAAAAATCCGTCGGGTTTCGATACCGCTACTATTAATGTAAGAGTATTGGATAGACCTGGAAAACCCGAGAACCTGAGAGCTGATGAATTCGCAGGAGATGCACTTACACTTTATTGGCAGCCTCCTAAAGATAATGGCGGTGCCGAAATTACCAACTATATTATTGAAAAGAAAGAAGCAAAGTCTCAAACTTGGTCTAAAGTCAGTAGCTATGTTACCGTTCCTTTTGTTAGAATTCGTAATCTTACACTTGGAAAAGAATATGATTTTAGAGTCATTGCAGAAAACCAATACGGCCAATCAGATCCTGCTGTTACTTCTGAACCAATCAAAGCTAGACATCCATTTGATCCTCCAGGTGCACCTGGTGCACCCAGAGGCATTGAAACCACTGAAGATTCTATTACCATTACCTGGACTAAACCAAGACATGATGGAGGCTCACCAATTACTGGTTATGTAGTAGAAAAACGACTTATAACTGAAGATAAGTGGACCAAAGCATCTCATGCTCAGGTTCCAGATACCACACTGAAAGTTATAAATCTCATCGAAAATCACGAATACGAATTTAGAGTAGCAGCTATCAATGCAGCTGGTCAAGGACCTTGGAGTTCTGCTTCTGATGCAATCTGCGCTAGAGCTGCCCCATCAGCACCAAAGATCACTTCAGATTTAAGTATTCGTGACATGGTCGTTATTGCTGGAGAAGAGCTCAAAATTACAGTTCCATATGTTGCAACTCCCAAACCTAAAGCTTCATGGACTATTAATGGAGACGAAGTGATTTCTGACAACAGAATCAAAATGGATACTACTGATATCGCTTCAATATTTATAAATAAATCAGCAAAACGTACAGATACGGGTAGTTACACTATCAAACTTACAAATTCAGAAGGTTCAGATTCTGCATCTTGCCGAGTTCTTGTGGTAGACAGACCTTTACCACCTCAAGGTCCTCTTGATGTATCAGACGTGACGCCCGACAACTGTTCTCTTGCGTGGAGACCACCACTGGACGATGGTGGTTCTCCTATTACAAATTACATCGTTGAAAAATTGGATACAAATGGCATTTGGGTAAAAGTTAGCAGTTTTGTAAGAAATAGTCATTATGATGTAATGAGTTTAGAGCCAAATAAGAAATACAGTTTCAGAATCAGAGCAGAGAATCAATATGGCGTTAGTGATCCTCTAGAAAGCACAGAACCAGTCACAGCCAAATATCCATTCACAGTTCCTGATGCTCCTAGTGCACCACGTGTTACAGATTGGGATTCATCTACAATCTATTTATCTTGGGAAAGACCTAATAATGATGGTGGCTCACGTATTCAAGGTTATAAACTTGAATATCGTGATATAGCCCATGATACACACTGGCAAAGTGCTAGCGATTATCTCATTAAAGACACTCATTTTGACTTATTCAATTTGACAAGTGGACACGAATACGAATTCCGTGTTCGTGCTAAAAATGCTGCTGGTTTTAGCAAACCTTCAGCTTCATCGGCTTCATTTAAATTAAAGGGTAAATACAACGTACCATCTGCTCCACGCAATCCAAATGTGGTTAACGTTGGAAAAGGTTACGTTGACCTTACTTGGGAACCACCAAGTAGCGATGGCGGCTCTAGAATTACAGGATACATAATTGAAAAAAGAGAAATTGGATCACCACTGTGGACAAAATGCAATGATTACAACGTTACGGATACCAACTACACTGTCCTCAACCTTATGGATAAATGTGAATACGAATTCAGAATATATGCCGTGAATTCAGCTGGTAAGAGTGAACCAAGCAACTGTACTACTCCGGTTAAAGTTTGTGAAGTTCTTGGAGGCGAGAAACCCGATTGGATACGTCGTCTTAATAATACATCTGCTCCTCTTGGTAAATCAGTTGCGTTGGAATGTGAAGCTTCTGGCAAACCCGAACCCGCCTTCAGATGGATCAAGAACGGACGAGAAATTAAAATTGGTGGAAGATTCAGGACAGAAGTTAAAGGTGGAACTGCCTTCCTGCACATTTCAGATTTACTTGGTATTGATGAAGGTGATTACACTTGTGAAGCTAGCAACACTCTAGGAGCTGTTACAACAACGGCACGTCTTAAGATAGGAACACCACCCAGAATTGAACGCCTACCTGGCGATCTATACTTGGCAGAGAGAGATAATACCAAGATTAAAATTTACTACTCTGGTGACCAACCTCTGGATGTTACATTATCTAAAAATGGACAAAACATTGATGATTCCACACATATTCGATTCAGTGTATTTGATGACTATATCATTATATTTATTAAAGACATTAATAAGAATGATGGAGGTAATTATAACTTAACAGTTAAAAATGACAGTGGAAGTGCATCAGGCAGCTTCACAGTATACATTACTGGATTACCTGGACCACCAAATGGACCTCTTGAGACTACAGAAATTACCAAACACACTTGCAGACTAGGCTGGAAACCACCAAGTTACGATGGAGGGTTGAGAGTTACCCATTATAATGTTGAAAGGAAAGATGTACTTGGAACACATTGGATAACCGTTTCCAGCTCTTGTAAAGACACTAACTTTACCGTTCAAGGCTTAACTGAAGGACAAGAATATTTGTTCCGGGTAATGGCTGTTAATGACAATGGCGCAGGTCCACCGCTTGAAGGTATTAACCCAATAAAAGCTAGAGCACCATTTGATCCACCAGGTCCGCCTGGTGTACCCAAAGTTACCCAAGTTGGTGGCGATTTCGTCAACCTCGAATGGACCAAACCCGAAGAAGATGGAGGAGCTCGTGTTCAAGGTTACTGGATCGATAAATGTGAAAAGGGAAGTTCAACTTGGCAACGTGTTAATGTTTCCTTATGTTTACCTACTCAAATAAATATTTCTAATCTTATTGAAGGACGGAAATATGAATTTAGAGTGTTTGCTCAAAACATTGCAGGGATTTCTGTACCCTCAAGCGCTTCTAATAGCGTTGAAATAAAAGATCCACTGGCTGCTACACCACCAGAAATTATTAAACCACTTAAAAACGCCCAATGTATTCAAAATCACAATGCTAAATTTGAATGTACGATTACTGGAAATCCTGCTCCTCACATAACTTGGTACAAAGGAGCTAGAGAGATTACAAATGGTTCAAGATATCACATTTACAGCGAAGGAGAAGTACACCATCTTGTTATTCATGATATATTTGGAGAAGATGCTGATGAGTATGTTTGCAGAGCAGTTAATAAAGCTGGTATTAAATCTACTCGGGCTGAATTACTAATAATGAGTAAGTATTTTAATTGTAATTATGTAACCTAAAATGCTAATATAACGTTTTTACAGCTGCACCAAAATTGAACATTCCCCCCCGGTTCCGAGACAGCGCTTACTTCGACAAAGGAGAAAATGTAATAATCAAAATTCCATTTACTGGATACCCGAGACCAAAGATCATTTGGGTAAGAGAAGGCGAAGTTATAGAATCTGGAGGTCACTACCACGTTGAAGTTAAAGATAGACATGCCATCCTCACCATCCGCGATGCTAGTAAATTGGATAGTGGTCCATACAGGATTACAGCAGAAAATGAACTTGGTCAAGATACTGCTATTATAAAGATTCAAATCGCTGATCGTCCAGATCCACCACGCTTCCCTGCTGCTGACAATATTGGACACGACTCGCTGGCTCTAACATGGAAAGCTCCTGTTTGGGATGGTGGTAGCAACATCACGAATTATCTTGTTGAAAGACGTGAACATCCATTATCCACATGGATAAGGGTAGGAAATACAAGATTAACTACAATAGCAGTGAGTGGATTGACACCAGGTCATCAATACGAATTTAGGGTATACGCCGAAAATATTTATGGACGCTCTGATCCATCAGATTTAAGCAACCTCATAACCATGAAAGATACAGTGAAAAAACAAGTAGAAAAGAGGAAATACGAAGTTGACGAAAATGGCAAGAAGATTCGTGAATCTCACAAAGAAGCTGTCAAAGATTACGATAATTACGTATTTGATATTTATTCAAAATTCGTTCCACAACCTGTCGAAATCAAAACCAGATCTGTTTATGACGATTACGATATCCTGGAAGAAATAGGTACCGGTGCATTTGGTGTGGTTCATCGATGTCGTGAAAGAAAGACAGGTAACATTTTCGCTGCTAAATTCATTCCAGTATCTCATGCAATGGAAAAAGAACTCATTAGAAAAGAAATAGACATTATGAACCAATTACATCATCCTAAACTCATTAATCTACATGATGCATTCGAGGATGATGACGAAATGGTCTTAATATATGAATTCTTGTCTGGTGGCGAACTATTCGAAAGAATAACAGCGGAAGGTTATCAAATGTCTGAAGCTGAAGTTATCAATTACATGAGACAAATTTGCGAAGGTATCAAACACATGCATGAAAGAAATATAATTCACCTGGATATCAAACCTGAGAATATTATGTGTCAAACACGCAAGAGCACGAATATCAAACTTATTGACTTTGGATTAGCTACCAAACTTGATCCTAATGAAATCGTTAAGATATCTACTGGTACTGCAGAATTCGCAGCACCAGAAATTGTTGAAAGAGAACCGGTTGGATTTTATACAGATATGTGGGCCGTTGGTGTATTAGGTTATGTATTGTTAAGTGGACTGTCACCGTTTGCAGGTGAAAATGATATAGAAACATTAAAGAATGTTAAAGCTTGCGACTGGGACTTTGACGAAGAAGCATTTTCAAGTGTTTCTGAAGAAGGCAAAGATTTTATTAGAAGATTATTGCTTAAAAACAAAGAGTAAGTTCATTAAAATTTTAAGTATTAAAGTCATTTTTGAAATTTATATATTTAATGGCATATTTTTATTGATAAAATAATATTTTTAGGAAACGTATGACTGCTCAAGAATGTTTGATACATGCATGGCTTAGTGGTGATCACAGTGATAAAACTCAAGTTATTGACCAATCCAAATACCTACGTATGCGTGATAAAATTCGGGCTAAATATGAAGAATGGGATTCATTCGCGCTACCAATTGGGCGCTTATCAGAATATTCATCGTTGAGAAAATTATTAATAGACAAATATAGGATACACGACGCTTACTTTGGTAATATTTGAATAATTTTTATTACGAATAGGATTTAAAAATATATTCTTTATTTTAGACCGAAGACAAGCAGCACCACGATTCGTTATCAAACCACAAAGTGCATTCTGTTACGAAGGACAAAGCGTCAAATTCTATTGTAGAGTTATTGGCGTTGCTGCTCCTACGGTTAGTTGGTATCACAATAATGTAGAACTAAGACAAAGTGTTAAATATATGAAGAGATACGCTGGAGATGACTATTATTTCGTCATAAACAGAGCTAAGTTACAAGACAGGGGAGAGTATATTATTAGGGCTGAAAATCACTACGGAGCTAGAGAAGAAGTTGTGTTCCTCAATGTTCAACGTAAGCCAGAACTAAAAAATAATTTAACAAATAACTTATTAAACTATATTTTTTCACAGCTCTTCCTAAAGTTGTACCTGAATACAAACCTGAAGCACCAGTTGTTCGCAGAAGAGAACCCTTACCATTTACTTTGTGGAGAGAAGAACAAGAATGTGCACCCAGTTTTACCTTTTTACTCAGACCTCGTGTTATGCAAGAACGAGATACTTGTAAGTTATTATGTTGCTTGAGCGGAAAACCGTTCCCAACTGTCAAATGGTACAAAGACAAACGAGAACTTAGTAAATATGAATACTCTATGTCACATTCTGATGGGGTCATAACAATGGAAATTTCTGGATGCAAACCATCAGATTCCGGCAAATATACTTGCGTAGCCACAAATGAACATGGTGTAGATGAAACTTCTTGTGTAGTAATTGTTGAAGGTGTGACGACTACACCTGAACAAACAGCACTTGCCAACAAATTAATGTACTCTGGAGATAGAAAATACATTGAACAACCTATTAAACCTGCCCCCGCTCAAGTTACCATCAGACATCCTTACCCCAATACCAATCCAATCCAACCAAAGTCTAACAACCCAAGCTCGACAAGTCTAGCACCAAAATCGAATAACCCAAGTGCAACAAGTTTAGCACGGTCAGGTTCAAATCTCAGTGTTGGCGATGGCGACAAGAGAAGTACTAGAAAATATGGCAGATTAGACTCTACTGGAAGCCCAAATAGATCTAGAAGCGCTACAAAAGAATTAGCCCGTAAGTTGCTTACAAAAAAATATTGAACTGTAAAGTAATCTTCTATTTTTAGTTCCTGATGACTCGACAATGTACGCCCCACAATTTACAAAAGCTTTAGCAGATTTGATAGTAAACGATGGTGAAAGCCTTACATTAACAACTCATGTTAAAGGAGATCCTGATCCTCAAATTATCTGGACTAAAAACGGCAAAACTTTGAGCTCTTCAGAAGTTGTCGATCTCAAATACAAAAATGGAATTGCCAGGCTTCATATTAATGAAGTATATCCTGAAGATGAAGGAGAATACATTTGTAAGGCAACCAATTCAATTGGCACTGCAGACACCAAATGCAAACTAACAGTCAAACGTAAGAATGTTTTTTTAATTAATTTAAATTAAATCGAAACTATAGTCGCATTTACTTACATAATAACTTTGGATTTGACGAAATTATATTACCGAAAAGAATCTTTTTATTTTACGATTTTTAGATATGTAATTCCAAAAGTAATGATCTGAGAAGTGTAACTACTGATGATATTTCTATTTTTAGCAATGGTGAACGCTACAAATGGAAAGAAAAAGAGTTCTGAAGACAAACCTCCAAGGATAGTAGATCATTTAAAATCCGCATTTGTTAAAGACGGAGAACCAGTAACTCTAACCTGTCGTATAATAGGAGCAGAAAAATTCGATGTAATCTGGTTACACAACAACAAAGAAATCAAACCATCCAAAGACTTCCAATACACCAATGAAGCCAACATTTACAAGTTGATTATTGCAGAAATATTCCCCGAAGATGCTGGCGCTTATACTTGTGAAGCATTTAACGACTCTGGTGAAAGTTTCAGTAGTTGTACGTTAAATGTTCTTGTTCCAGGGGAACAACCAAAGAGTCCCGTTTTCAAAACATTCCCGATTTCCGCCACGGTAAGATTACAACAGTAAAAAATTGAAATTTTCTCTTGAACTCCGTGTTAGTGTTTTAGATGAAAATTGATTAATAAAATTTGTGTTTCTGGAGCCGTATACAGGGTGAATCCCAAGTCGATACTCTTTTATTATTAAAATAAATAACTTTTTCAAAAAAAGTTCAATTAATAATTTTCATCGAAAAATGTTGATTACATTCATGCCGTTGTAAAAACCATTCACAAAACAATTCTGTGGGACAAATGTTCAAGTTGAATGTGAAAGGGATACAGTTGATTTCCCGCAGTTGTCCACACTTTTCTTTGACTTATCAACTGGACCCTCGCACTTGTTGGATCTTTCGTCTCGATAACATTATTTAAAATGTGTTGTTATAAAAGTATTTCATTTTCAATTTGCCATACTGAACAGATAAACTGCTGACCTACTGAAATCAGTCGATTAAATTACAAAAACTGGTACACGTGAATTGTGATTCATATTCATAAGAAAACTACTTATTAATTCGTTTAACTTTTCGTCCAGACCCGTATTTAGATTTGTAATTCTGTATTTTTCCTATTTTTGAGTTTAAAAAAAAAAATATTGTAAAAAGACGTCTAGACACAGTTAAAAAAAATATCAACTTAAGATTCACCGTGTATATGTAAATTAGCAAAATTTTTTAGTTAAAATGGCTACCCTGTGTTTATACCATCGTCATCTTTTTAGGTAGACTAGATAACACTATAATTAGTTTATATATTTCAGGTAGTTTGTTTTATGTATTTTAGATAAATTATTTTCTTATTTCAGATTATTTTGTAAGTATTTCATTTACTTTTTTTATCTGTTTTAAATATTTTTTGTGTAGGTACTTGGGCTGTCTAGTGTTTTATACTTTTTTATGTACTTTAACTTCCTTTACTTATGCATTATGAATTCTAGACAAACATAATGACACCCAATAGTGCAAAATTTAAAAATTATCTTCCTATGCATTTATTTTATGTATTTCTCATCAAAATTAAAAACCAACAACATATAATAAAAATATATCTAATTCACCCCCTTACGAGTGAATTTTAACCCCATGGAGCCGACTGAGCTTGTGTAGGGAAGAAATTATTATTATTATTTTCCGTAGTGCTCCGGGCCGACTTGAAGATAACTGATGGTGACATTTACCTCACCATTATCGAAACGGTAACGCACTGCGATTTATAATCTGAATGCCATATCACCATAAATTAAATTACTGCTAATACGAAACCCAACAAATCCTATAACGAACTATGCAAATTAATTAAAAATTCACAGGGTCTACTCTAGGATCTGAAGCCGTGTTTTGCTAAATTACTAAAATGCCGTCGAACATACTGGGCTATCGAGTCGATTATATACAAGTAGATGATTATAATAGAATGCGTGTACATAAAAGTTTAATTTTGGTCTAAATATCTAAATAAAGGAATTTACAGTATATAAAAAGGTAGCCAAAACAAATGGAAAATATGTTTAGGATGGTGTGATAAAAAAAACTCATATCATATATTAATGGTATATCAATAAATAGTAACATACAATGATAGTAGTCTTTATTTTAAGATATGTATAAAATATATCTCATTACGATTCTTTCTTCGGAATGCCGTTTCGTCCAATTTGTTCTCTTGAAATTATATAATATATTTTATTTACAACCATATATGTAATGTTGTCATTACTAACGTCATTGAAGGTTGGGAAGTGTCACATTACACACCTCTACTTCCCGCCCTCATTTCATCTATTCTAGATGAATATTTTTTATATTTAAAAAAAAAAATAACACAGTGTTTGACAAATTTTATAATACCTATTTAATGGCAAACAATAAAAAACAACAATGATCTAAAATTAAACAAACTACTTATTGATATTTATTATTCGCGAATTTAATATCCGGCTGTTCAGAACAAAACAGAGATTTATTAACTTTGATCGAAATATGATGGTTGTAAATAAAATAGTATACAAACCTCGGTAGGAAGTTTCATTCCTGTCTCGAGATCATAGTTAACCTCGACACTTCGCGTCTCGGTGATCTAACTAATCTCACGACAGAAATGAAACTCTTCCCACCTCGGTGTGTAATATACTATTGTCTTTATTCGTTTATCAACTAAGTCACTTTACTTCAGTGCTTTCCAATGAATTTTTTCTTGCTTCATGCAGCTGTTGTAATAAATACAGCCAATATCTGTAATTTTTATTTTACTGTATGTATATTATACATAACTGTAACAACGCAGAGTTAAAGAGTTTCATAGCTCCATCGGTATTTCTATTGTAATTTTGAAATATTCCGAAAAACTGTAAGTAACCTATTTAATTTATAGGTATCTGGAGGTGAATCGGCAACCTTCGAAGCAGAGACAGAAGACGATCCGTTACAGATCAACTGGTTGAAAGATGGAAAGCCGATAAAGGAGAGCGCATCCAAATACAATTTTACCGCTGACGGAAAGCGTTATATATTACAAATTCTATCTTGCAATTCCAATGACATTGGACAATACCAAGCGAAGGCGATTGGAAAGAAAGGAGAAACCTTCGCGGCCTTCTCATTAAACGTTGTTCCATCTAGTGAGGTCTAGATTATAAAGCTCTGGCCGCACCACAAAACGCTGACTAACGAACGACTTGCTCCAAAATGTTTATATAACATAGTATATGTAAAAATAATATATTTTTAAGTGTTTTATATGAAAAAATGTTGTTAATTACCTGAATTGTACGTGTATTATCATTGGCATCCTCTATTTTTAACATCTCCGCTTTGGTAAGATGCGTACAAATTGGTTAATGCCACATTCAAAACAAGCGATTTTTTTTTTCGATTAAAAGGAGCAAAATAATTATCGAATTTTTAATTTAACAGTATGAAATGAGAACGTTTATTTTAACTAGTGTGAAAGAGCTTCAGCCATTGTTTTCATCAAACCATCTTTATTAAATATTTAAGTATCACTAAACGAACATATTGCTTTTACAATGCCCTATCAAAATTGTACCATATAATGTAAACAAGAAAAATAAATATTATTTTTTAACATGTTTTTTCATTCCTGTTACACCATTAGTATAATAAAATATACACAATTCTTTTTTGTATGTAGTTTCATAAATATTTCTCAACATAATTTGGCATCGTCAAAGAGATATTTAATATTTCTCTTTTTTTCACATGCCTCTCTTCCAAATCTTCTAATTGATTAGAATTTACATATATTTACTAAAAAAAATTAAATTCGGATATTTCAACAAAACTAAATACATCTCAAAACAAATTTAAAAATAAGTTTCTCTAAAACGTACCCATAGTAAACATTTTCAAGTGTTCTGCAAGTGCAATGCACAAATTTTTTGAATAATCACTTTATATGCACATGCTATTGATCATGTAAGAAGAGCATTTTTATAACACGTAGCATGTATGAGTTATATAGAAATTACCCACCTCGTCACGTAATTTCCAGCTTCTATGAATGTACTGAAGTAGATTTTATTCAAATGCTAAAAACATGCTCATATATCACATTCCAAATCGCTCGTACAAAGCATTTCCATCCAATGAACGTTTTTTATAATTACTAATTATGAAACACGTGCTTTATATCTGATATGTCGTTAAATGCGTACATGAAATGCACTTGTTGTGAATATACTTTTTATCCTAAAAATTTGCTACTAAATGCAATAAATGCAAGATCATGACTTGACAGAGCGATGCAAGAGACTCAGTTATCATTTTTATTGTTTATTACCAGCTATTTATTGTCAATGGAAATAAAAATTATACAACGTTAAATGTACATATTAATTTATCTATATATTATTTTAAGTTTAGTTAATTATCACAATTTTTCTTGTAAAATATAATTTAAATCAGCCCAATCAAAAGTTTATATCAGCTAAATTTCAGATTTAAAATAGAATTCCATCCCTGAAAACATTTAATCAAAACTCTTCTCACCACACTCTGTATACAGAGTGGAAAGACTAACTGGAACAAATTCTGTAACTTGATAAATAAAGGTTTGTCGCGAAATTCCTGGAACACGTCAATTTTTATTTTCAATGGGGCATATTACAAAGAGATTTGTTTATCTTTTTATCTGGGGGGTTGCAGACACCCCCAATATTTTTTTTTAAATGAAAGGGTAGGTTGATTAATTTTTTATTGTAAAGCTTTTTCAATTACAAATACAATTACATTTTTTTGTTATTTTTTAAAAGCAATATGTCGGAAAAAATGAAATGAGGAAATATTTACTGAAATTACCTTGATGTATAGGTATATTTTTTCTTACTTGATAAGCCCAATGAATAACCTGCTCGATGGTTTTTTGGTCAATTTGATCTGAATGTGATTGATTTGTTAGTACTTGTTTGCTGGTTCGGATACAAGGGGGGGTAATAGGGTAATTACCCCCCCCCCCGAGCTGCTCGAAGAAAGCCAGGAATTTATTAAATTGTAATCTAAAAACAACGAGATTTTACTAGAAAGCAGAAAAAACAAGATGACGGTGACGAATGAAAAATAGAGAAACACAGGCTGGCGTACAGTATAGGTGTAATCAGGGGCGGTTTCTCCATTGGTTCATTTGTGCAGTGAACACCCAGTTCAATTTCATAAAAACACGTTATTTTAAAATTACATAAATAACATAAAAATATAAATATCAATTTAATTTTAATATTTTTATTTTCATACGTGTTAATCTATATTTTTTGGTACATCATTGCTCTCTAGCTGATCGCGTCTCTGTAGCACAATATACCTAAGTATACCGTATCTGTGGCGCATTATGATGAGTGAGCCTTACACGAGTGAGACGATTTGGCGAACGCATATAGCTAAAAAGAGAAGACAACACGCCAACAGATCCTTCAAACTGTCAAAGAACACATTGGACACGTTCAGCCGACGCAACAGTTGATTAAAACCGAAAACATGTTTCTGATATGGTGGAAGTCAACAATTAAAAGTACCTGAACGGTATAAGTTGGTTCAACGGTTAGACAATACACATACACGTGGTGACCTCTAGTGATGTTATAAATAAAATTATTTTCGGTTACAAATTAGGATCATGTAAAAATATACTGTCATAATCAGTCATAACGGAAATTTTTCATCATGGTTTAACTTAAGAATTTAAAAAAAAACAAAAAACAAGAAAAGTCAGTTTACTGACTAATAAAGTTTATAGATGGTTTTCAACGTATTAAAAACAAAATAAATATTACATTAACTAAAATATTCATTTAATAATAGTTGTAGTGCTTGAAAACATTATGATGTTGATAATAATAAATACATTTAATAAAAAATCAAATAATAAAAAAAAAAACAGCGATATTGACACTTGTACAATGTTTTGAACTAGTTCCGAAAGCATATATTTTCATGTACTATGCATATCTTTAAAATATGCGCGGTCGCACATAAAACTTATTTACTGGGTATACCTACCTATTTACAAGATGTCAAACAGTAAGTACAGTTACTTTTCTATCAATAAAAAATAAGCTCAGCGGTTCTAAAAGGATTTTGTCGAATATGTTCTACGAAAGCATTGTCTTTATTTTCATTAGAGACCTTTCTTACATCTTGTCTGAAAGGTATTCGCAATCTTTGTGTAGCCCTTCATCTGACTTTAGGTAGTTAGGTACAGGGGAGGGGGGTGAACAATATGTATTATGTCCCGGTGGTGGGAGCTATCGAGTAACCTGTCAAATTCAGAATAATGTTTCTTATCGATGGTGTCTTTCGTTTTTTTGCTGGCAATTAATTAATTTGCTTCTAGACGTCTATAACAATAAAAAGTATTTTATGTCGTCGGGTTTTCTACTATCGATGTAGGGAAATGATTGGTTTTATTTTTTTTTTCTCCGAAAACGAAGCGAGTTACGAAAAAAAAAGGGAATAAAGTTTTTTTAGTTTCTTCATCTAAAAAATTACTAAAAATCTACTGGGTTTTTCTCTGTGCAAAAAATGCCACATACTGAGTCCAAAACATACCTTATTAAAATATCAACAAATTGTGAAAATATTACTGAAACGATTTTTTCTACACCCACATGCATATGATCTATATTTAACACACAAACCACAGAACGAATATATTTCATATCCATTCTAGTAAGAATACTGTACGCCTATGAAATCCACTAATCACAGTTCATTTTTGGCCACCAGGCTACTATTACTTTTCAAAATTTTAAATAAGTGTCAATTTTGTCTCTTCACACTGGAAATTTTAACTGTAAATCCATGAATTCGAATCACTTTTTTGAATTTGAGCAAATATTAGTCTCTCTTGGATTATTTTCAAAAAACTTCACCCCTACAAAGACTACAAAAACATGTAGTAAAATCCTCGATCAAACATATTTCATGATTCCGTCATTGTACTGTTGGTGCCATGTTTTCGTTCTGTATCGTTGACGTCAGTTAGTTATTTGGAAATTTAATTTTGGAGAATTGTTAGATTAGAAAATATAGAATTGTCAGATTAGAATTATAGATTGTCAGATTATTTGGGGAATTATCAGTAAAAATTTAATTTGGAGAAAGATATAATTATTATAGATATTATGATAATAAATAAAAGATAAAAAGCTTTATTTAAAGTAAAAAAATATAAAGGTGGAGGTATAGTTGAAAGGAGAATTTTGAATAAATAAGAAGGCCAGGGAAGGTATAGCAGGAGTTATAACAAGGTACAAGAGCAAGAGTAGCAAACCAGAAAACAGGAGGTCTAAAAAGCAGCAGTTGCAACAATAGGAAGGAACATAGGAGGTAGAGAAATTAGAGTAGGTGCAGGAGAGCTACAGAAAAAGGAATAGGACAGGATGATCTTTATATATATATATATATATTTTTTTTTTTTTAGTTTACATTTATACTTTATTTTTGCCTGGAATACTGTCGCATGTTTACTTAAGCTCAGTGAGATTCTTGTTTTTGACTTGGTTCTATATATACCTACACCTGAACCTTCATGGGTTTTGGAGCCGTCTGTATACCAGACGAATTATGCGTGAATAGGAAGTCTTCCCATCTACGCTTCCCTGTCTGTTATACTTACTTTATACTGTTTTTGAAAGCTATTCGTCTGAAGGCATTCCCATTATTTAATCGTTCTCCAACTGTTTATATAGCTTCCTGTAGTCATGACAATACAAACTGCTTATGGGTGATTGACCTTTGTGCAGTCTGTATGTGACCTGGCTTCGAATTGAATGAATATATGTAGTGGTGTTAGATTTACTATGACTTCTATAGCTGCTTTCGGAGTCCTTCTCATGGCTCTCGTTGAATACTGTTGAGCTGTCGAATGGCTCCAGCTTACCGAGTCTTTGGTCACCATACCACTGACCCGTAGGTTATCATCGGCCTTATGGCTCTGGTATATAGCTATAGGAATATTTTCGGTTGTAGTCCCCAATTTTTTCCATACAACCTTCGACATAAGTTGAAGGATGTTGTGCTCTTTTGGGCGACTTTTTGCAAGTGTTGATTCCATGTTAACCAATGGTCAAAGATAACTCTCAAGTATTTGGCCTCTTCGCCAAATAGAATCTTCACTCATTTCAGAACTGGCGACTTTAGTGCTGTCAGTTTTGTGATGTTAACTATTGTGGTTTTTTGTGGGGGTTTACTGTTAGTTCTTCTTCTCTGCACCACTAGTCAACAATGTTTAGAACAGTTTGTGTGCGCTCCGATATTGTACCTGCGAACTTGCCTCTCACGACGATCGCCAGGTTATCGGCTTACCCTAGTCAGTAGAAGTCTGCAGATATTAGCCTTTTTATGAGATCGTCCACTAGGACTGACTAAAGGAGGGGTCAGTGTAGCTTCGCCTAGAGATGATGTTATTACCCTTGTCATATGTCAAATTTAATTTGAGTTCGGGATTTCTAAACGAAATTTGAATTTTAAGAAATTTTAGGATGTTCTAATTTTCTTTTTTTTTTCTCTGGTAACATAAGTATGTTCTAGTAAGTTATGGTAAGCTTATATGTATATTGTGACACGATGTGAACACAAGCCAAGTCCATAAAAATGAATCGAGTAGAATGATTCATTAAAAATGACCAGTGGGAACTTGCCTTCAGTACAAATTTTAATATCCTATACACGTTCAACAGGTCTTCTTCTGAATCAATGGTAAATTTAAAGAAACAATTTTCACTATACACAGAATGGTCAAAAAGCCGTTCTGTATATTTTCTTATAGATTAAAATAGTAGCTCAAATTGTTAAAAAAATACATGCAAAGTAAATAAAAATATAAAGTCATTTATTATTAGTTTAACAAGGGTATTGTCACAGCCACTTTTATATGGTTCGAAGAAGAATAAGTGAATCGGTGAGTGCAGAAAGGGTTCAAATCCAAAAAGATAATTTTCGAAAAATAAAGAAAAACATTGCAGCTCGGTAGTTTCTGATATTAAGATGTTTAATTATCTCTGCATTTTGTTTAGAATTAGAATTGAAATATGGAATAATATAAAGGGTGTTCCATTAAAGAAAAAGAAACTTGGTTTTGTCATGGCCTTCTGACTCACCCTATATACTTATTCTGTCTTTATTATAATAGATTAAAAAAATCTAAAACTTTTGTATTTAACATTTTTCGCTAGCTATCTTACTTTAGAAAATAATCGACCGTTTTCATCCATACATATCAGCGACCCTGAATATTATCAATATTTTTTACAATTTTCAATATAAAAGTAAGGTAATTATTATGAACACATTAAAAGTAATATTTTTTACATTATAGGATAATATTTTATGTAGTATTTTATGAAACTAGTTACTCAAAAGTAGACAAAAAATTATACAAATGAATAATTAAAATTAAAAATTACTTATTCAGAAATAAAATGCTTTTTGTAAGTAAACTTCTTACTCTGGCTTTAAAAGGTGCGTATAGATATAACGCTAAATAAAAATCTAACGTGATTGTAATGAATAAAAAAACTCATATTTGAGGGAAGAGATCTGAAAACACAGGAAAATGGTCTCGTCCGGATGATGTTGTGGACAAATTCTATCGGATATCTTTGTGGAAAGATAGTAAATTCCCAGAAATGTTTTGCGGCAATGAACCTAAAAACCAGTAAACATTGATGTACATTTTTAAGATAAAGTAAAATTAAAAGAATACATTATTTTGTAATAAATCAAATAAATAAAAATATTGCAACATATTTCTGCGAATTTATACATCATCATTTTCGTAAACTTAGCGAATAAATTATATTTAAGATTTTTATCGATACTTCTTAATTTGTAGAAATAATTTGAAATTTCGGAAACAAATCTCAAAAATCCCCCTACGAATTATTAAGACCATCCCTGAATTCCAAAGGCGAAAACACATACTTGGAGATTAGAAAAAAGCCTGTCAGGGATTCGAACCCAGAATCTTTGTTCTCTACACAAATTCCCTACCTCTAGCTAGACCATCGCGACATTGACTGTCGAAATTACTAACCGGCAGTTTGATGTGCTAATTCGGGACAAGCGCCGTTTCAGGTTCATTTTCAAATTGAGGTATTATTGAAATTATATTGTTAAGTAACTATTAACACAGACCTTTTCTTGTTATGCCTAAAATATCCCATATGTTCCGTCCTCAGCAATTATATACAGGGTGATTAATTAAGAATAGAACACAGAACAACTCAAGATTCTCTGATTAAAAATAAGACGATTAAACGAAACATGCTTGGATAAAATATTACTGTTTTCTAACTGGCCCTTCTATTGGCCTGACAAAATCTGTAGTGACAGACCTAATTAAAGAACATTCCCATGTGAAATTCAAGGAAAACCAAGAAACTGCAGAGTTGCCAGGGAGCTTTTAAGTTATCCTGACAATACTACAGCAAACAAATACTATGAATAGACAGAATCTGCGTCTGGTCACAGGCATTCTGGCTGGTCATTGCCAAGTACGGAAGCATCTTTATATCATGGGCTGTCAGAATCCGCACTCTCCAGGGGGTGCAAACAAGAAGATGATATACTCGAGCATATCTTCTACGTTTGCTCGACGCTTTCATTTATTAGAAGATTTGTGTTCGGCGAATATCGGCTAACACCTGCCGATATAAGAGAAGCACCTTTTGGCGACGTTGTCAATTACATTAAATCTGTAGGCTGGCTCACGAGCAAGGAGGTGCTTATCATCTTAGGAGGATGCACAATTGGCATAGTGAAACCTAAGTGCCGAGGGGTAACCCACCCTCCACACTATACAGATACAGATACTCATTTCCAAAATATAGTGTGTTATAGCCAATATTATAGCCATTAATAATTTTTGTATTTATCAGTATAATTTTACTAAATTTAGCAAATATTTTTGATGTCCTAATAATAATATACACCTATCAGCAAAAAAAATCAGTCAAAAAACCTTGCCAGTGGCGTACGGCATGGGTAAGTAATATCTTAATCCCTTCTAATTTTTACGACACTGTCCAAAAACTTATAATTTTTAATTTTTTGATGTTTTTTAAATAAATCATGTACCCTTTTTTGAAGGCTCTAAAGTGATTGGTTTTAGAGGATATCGACACTCAAATGTGGATATTCTTCATTTTATTTATTTTTTAATTATGTAATTTTGAATGTAATTTTATAAATTTCCACAAAAGTACATAATTTATTAAAAAACTCAAAACATTATAGTCCAAATAAGTTTTTTGGACAGTGGCGTAAAATTAAGAAGGGATTAAGGTGTCACTTACCCATGCCGTACGCCACTGGCAAAGCTTTTTTGACCGATTTTCTTGCTAATAGGTGTACCTATCTTATGACACCAAAAACCTTTGCCCAATTTAGTAAAATTATACTGAGTAATTATTAAAAAAATATAACCTTTAATAATTTATGAATTTTTAAACTTTAATGCCCTGTATTTCGTAAACGAGTAACGTTTTACTCAAGCGTTTAACCGTCTTCTTTTTAATCTTCAATTTTTCTGTCCCATTCTTAATGAAACACCATGTGTAAGGGCTATAAAGTGTGTAATGTAATCTCTATTTGAAATCTTATGCCATACAGGAGAAATTATGCTCGTCTTCCTAGAAAAACGAATTTTACTTCCAACCACCCTTTTATTATTTTATTTAATATCAATATATTTATTAACAATTTTTGTACGACTTTAATGTTTTCACCATTTTAAATAATAAATAATATGTTGAGATCGGTGACATACATTTTTCAATAATCTTGCACTGTAGGGGACTAAAACAAGGAGTTGAGTCGAGATCCCACCCCCATGGCCAAATGGCGCATCAAAATATTAGGTCAATGGCTATTGCTAATTTTAACTTCACATAGCCGTACAGATTTCGATTACTTTTATAGTGGTGACAATTTTCGGATATTGAATATTTTTAGTTATTCTCTCTGGTGTCATTATTTTTTTAAGTCGGAAGGTTTTTCACTTTAAGTATTTCAATAACTATCTACAGGCTTTTTAAAACAAAATCCGATGAACGCCATCGATAATTTATGAGGACACGACTATGCAGTGTTGTCTAATCACCAGAATAGTCCAGGAATATAGGAAGTTTCAAAATTGTATGATTATTTGCTATTTTACAACTAGTTGGAAATATTAAATTCCTTTATGAATAATAAGCAACTGAACAAAATAGCTGTAAACGTATCTCAAAAATAAAACTGTAGGTACTACATAAGCCTCGGTAGGTATATTGCAGATGAATTAAACACCTTCTTTACTAAAATTGGTCTCGAATTAGCACAGAAAATATCTTAAACTAATTTCATTCCACCAAAAAAGTCAAAACTATTTTTAAGTTAGAAACCACAACACGCGAAATAATATATTTAATAGAAATAATATAACAGAAAAAATATTTTTAAATTTAGAGCTGCTGCAACACGCTCAGAAAACTATTTTATATTTTTAGAGATTTTTATAATCTTTAACTTATTTCTCTTACAGCAATTAAGGGTAAAAGAGTAAAAGGGTAAAAGTTAGTTAGTAGTACTATGACGCAAGAGTAACGTCATTGATGATGTGCAAACGCTTTTTGTGTTAAAATGCCTATACGTAAAATATGTCAATTTTTATTTGATAGAAGCGCCCCATATGCCATAGACCAGTGGTTCTCAAACTTTTTTGGTGACGGAACCTTTTTGAAAAGCGAAATATTTGACAGAGCCCTAAACACATTTCGAAAAAAAAAGTCCTTGATCTAGACTCTTGCCAGGTCCCTCTCGTTTCTTTGCTTCTTTGCGAAGCCCCTACAACAAAATTCTCAAAATTATATCATCCTTCCTCTGGCCTCTAAAAAAAAGGTCCAGGTACTCATACCAAAATATACGCTTTCCTCTTCGTATACTCCTTCCTTTTCTTCGCGGAGCCCCCACAAAGACTTTGCTGAGCCACAGGGCTCTGCGGTCCACACTTTGAGTAATGCTGCCATAGACAATTGATGACATAGCGCCTAAAATTATGCTTTCAGATTGTAATATTTAAATTATACATGGTGGGTAAAATCACCTCCCAAATTTTCCCCATCCGACTTGTAGCATACCTTAGTAACTTGTAGTATACTCGCTTTGTAGCAATTTTTGTTTTATTTTTCATTATACATATTTTCGCCAATAAAAAACTTTTACAAGTACTTAGCCTTGTTTACAGGATATTAAAAATAATTCAAAGGATAACATCTAATATCTGTTCAAAATAAGATTTCTTTCGAGAAATCCAAGATAATAGAATACTTTTATACACAAATCGTATCTTAAATTACCCAGTGACCTCCTGTTAATAAAGGTCAATGCTATGTATAAGACTAAGTAAGTGATTTCATATGTCCAGTAGTTTGTGGACATTTGCAAGTAAAGGTGTAGAGACTTCGTTTCAATAGTTTGTGTGAGTATAAAATTGAAATGGTATTTAATTTTCTTATAAATTTATTTTGCACAACATTTATACATAGTTGTTACTAATGAATGAATAGTAACATAGTAGATCGTGATTCATATAATATTAATTATTGTAATAGACTAAATAAAACCTTGAATTATATATAGTTGTTCTAAGAAACAATTTACACCATTTATTTCTACTCGTATTTATATATAATCATACCACATTTATTAAAGCGTATTCCAAGAATATAACTCTTCCACCTCTGGATGGAAGCGCAGCCCTTAAGGATGTGGTTCCGGGCATCAGACAATTGCCACTCGTCTTGATTATTAAAAACCAAAATCCCATTATTGAACCAATTCATAGAATCAAAAAGGATTATTCATATATACCTACTGGTCCTGGTATAATAAGGAGTGTTGATTGTTTTTACATGTTCTTTTTGAATTTGAAGGTTGGTATATAATTCTAGGTTCTCATTTAAAATTATTCCTCTAAAATCCAGTGAAGGTGGAGGATTTTTGAAATTAATAGTTAAATTCATTACGGGAACATCAATAAAATTTAGTTGATCGGTTTTCGTTATCATGAAAGTAAAGGAATTTATAACGATTATAGAGTCACGAGTTGGCTCCAGTAATAAGATTCCAGGGATTGGTACCAACGTTGTCATTTGAATCATACCAGTTAATTATTGCAACTTCTTTATTGTAATCAAATACGAACTGGTTAATAGGTGGTGACTTTTGAATTTTGTTAGTAAGTAGAAATTAGCTGACCTGGTGAGTCTTCTGTCATAAAGAACTTATGTGTTTGCACTGAATATTAATACAGATTTAGTCCATATAAATATGAATGCGCCATGTCGGTAAGTGCGAAGGTGAAAATACAATTCGAATACCCGATTCAAATATCAAAAGAAGAACAGAACATTAAATACATTCGTTAAATTATGCATCAGTTTTTAATTCACGCATGCACAAAAAGTATTGCAGAAACTTAAAGGGTGTTTTGCCAAAAAATGTACAAATCTATTTAGATCTTTTGATTTTTTTGTTATTTTTTACTGTCTAGGCATCTTGGATAGATGTGGCCACATATTTTGTTGTTGGCAGAAAAAGAGGCTGGTGTGTGATTTGTCAAATAAAATTATTTTGGTAGACAATCTACGATAGCTCAACCAATTTAAATATGACGCACGAGATAAATTTTCTGTTTTGTTTTTGATGTATGTACCATAAATTCTTAAAAGACTAACTCGTTTCTACTTTATTGCTTTTATAGTAAAATTTTATTTTCTAAGAAAATATTGATGAGATGCATTTTATGTGATTTTCTTCTACACTGAAATAAACTTTTACACAAACTAAAAAAAATGTTTACTAGGCCGGTTGCCAAATGTATTTTCAGGTATGCCAGACCACACAGTAAGACCTCCAATAAAGATATATGCATGCAGAGATATGTACATCTGGCCTGAAATAAAAATGTGCATGAGTATCAACATTGAATACATTTGACTAATCCACAGAATTGAAATAACGACAAAGGATCTGATATCAATTCGCACTTAAAATTTACTGTTCGATATGCGTACAAAATTAATGTTTTCAAGATAATAACATTTATTCATTTTTAATTCTTTTACAAATAAAAAAAGAAGACATTATTTATTAAACATTTAAACTGTAATATGGTACAATGATAGTTGGAAATTCAGTAAATACTAGTAAATTACTTAATTCATTAGGAAATTCTATACCTACGTTGGGGTCTCAAATTATGAATCCCAATTATAATTAAATTATTGTTAATGTAATAAATTTATTGTAGAAGCATGTCAAGTTGTAGGAAATAAAATATAATGACGTAATGTCTATCTAAATAATAAAAATATTGCTGGGCAACCGAGGTTCCTAACGAGGCGAGTTCAATCCTTCAGTAAGGCTGCCACGTGAAGTGAGATTGGGGGGTTTCAATTTATTTGAATAATAGCTGGTTAAACTTAATTTGTAATAATTGTTTATGAGGTTTTCATCCAAATAAATTGAGATTGGGGGGTTTCAATTTATTTGAATGATAGTTGGTTAAATTTGATTCGTAATAATTGTTTATTAGGTTTTCATCCAAATAAATTGAGATTGGGGAGTTTCAATTTATTTGAATGATAGTTGGTTAAACTTAAAGATGATAGTGTATATGTCGCAGGCAAATAATAGCTTTGGCTTTTGTCTACGCAAATGCTATCTGCCTGGGCAAATTACTTCATGAAAATAACTTATATTTAAAAGTCATTTACCTAGGAAAATGGCATTTGCCGTAGTCGTTTTTAGGCAAATGACTAATAGGTATTTGATCATATGAATGTATTTTGTTTACAGGGTGTTTTGCTGCTTACAATTTTCATCAGTTTTATGAACATGTAATTAAATATTTAGATTTTTTACTATTAACTGATAGTTTGTGCTAGGTTTTATACATAACTTGTGTCGCAATAGTTAAAACAATTGATTCAGTTTACTAATTTATAAGACCGTTTCATGTTTTCGGGGTAAGGATTTTCAAAATGTCAGTGTCAGCCATTAGTGTCAGTGTAATACCAATCGTTTACATTATAATTAACGTATATTGTCTTTAAGTTATATGTTCACATTTTTTACTCATAGAATTAGTTTTTAATTTTTTTAAAACAAATATTCATTCAATAAACTGGAGCCTATTTTGTCATTTCAAATATTTCCATTCCCATTTGTCTAAAAAGTGCTTAGACAAATACCATCAAATGCTATGTGACTAGTCAAATAGCATTTGATTTGCCTAGTCATTTTGCATTTGAAAAATAAAAAAAACACTATTTGCCCAGACAGAAAGCATTTGTCTGAAATTACCATTTGCCCGAAATTACCATTTGCCTGCGACATATATATGACGCATATGTCGCGGTGAGTTAAGAAGGTATGTAGTGTATCTGAGCAGGGCCGCCGAGAGCCAGACCGGGCCCCAGGACAATTCTCCAGAGCGGGCCCCGCGACAATTTTATAGCAAAAATTTCTCCTCTTCTACTTAAATTTCTCTAAAAAAAAAGGTCAAGTAAAAATTTCTCCTTCTCTACTTGAATTTTTCTTAAAAAAAAAGGTCGTCAAGCTGCCGGGCCCTCATTTTAACCCGGGCCCCGGGAATTAGTCCCGGCTACCCCCTCTCTAGTCAACCCTGTATCTGAGTCACTACACCTACATAAACAGATATTTTGAAGTTTTACTAGTGAATCTTGGAAGAAGCTAATAAAAACAACATTTACTGACAGTAACTATAATAAAAGTAGTTTTATATTTGCTAACTTATATTTAGTTTAATGCAAAATAAACATAAATAACAATAAACAATAAACAATAAAACAATAAACAACTAAACAATAAACAATAAACAATAAACAATAAACAATAAACAATAAACATACAATAAACAATAAACAATAAACAATAAACAATAAACAATAAACAATACACATAACAACAATAAACAATAAACAATAAACAATAAACAATAAACAATAAACAATAAACAATAAACAATAAACAATAAACAATAACACATAAACAATAAACAATAAACAATAAACATAAACAATAAACAATAAACATAAACAATAAACAATAAACAATAAACAATAAACAATAAACAATAAACAATAAACAATAAACAATAAACAATAAACAATAAACAATAAACAATAAACATAAACAACATAAACAACATAAACAATAAACAATAAACAATAAACAATAAACAATAAACAATAAACAATAAACAATAAACAATAAACAATAAACAATAAACAATAAACAATAAACAATAAACAATAAACAATAAACAATAAACAATAAACAATAAACAATAAACAATAACAATAACAATAAACAATAACAATAAACAATAACAATAAACACTAAACAATAAACAATAACAATAAACAATAAACAATAAACAATAACATAAACAATAACAACAATAAACAATAAACAATAAACAATAAAACAATAAACAATAAACAATAAACAATAACAATAAACAATAAACAATAAACAATAAACAATAAACAATAAACAATAAACAATAAACAATAAACAATAAACAATAAACAATAAACAATAAACAATAAACAATAAACCAATAAACAATAAACAATAAACAATAAACAATAAACAATAAACAATAAACAATAAACAATAAACATAAACAATAAACAATAAACAATAACAATAAACAATAAACAATAAACAATAAACAATAAACAATAAACAATAAACAATAAACAATAAACATAAACAATAAACAATAAACAATAAACAATAAACAATAAACAATAACAATAAACAATAAACAATAAACAATAAACAATAAACAATAAACAATAAACAATAAACAATAAACAATAAACAATAAACAATAAACAATAAACAATAAACAATAAACAATAAACAATAAACAATAAACAATAAATAACAATAAACAATAAACAATAAACATAAACAATAAACAATAACATAAACAATAAACAATAAACAATAAACAATAAACAATAAACAATAAACAATAAACAATAAACAATAAACAATAAACAATAAACATACAATAAACAATAAACAATAAACAATAACAATAAACAATAAACAATAAACAATAAACAATAACAATAAACCATAAACAATAAACAATAAACACAATAAACAATAAACAATAAACAATAAACAATAAACAATAAACAATAAACAATAAACCAATAAACAATAAACAATAAACAATAAACAATAACAATAAACAATAAACAATAAACAAAAAACAATAAACAATAAACAATAAACAATAAACAATAAACAATAAACAATAAACAATAAACAATAAACAATAAACAATAAACAATAAACAATAAACAATAACAATAAACAATAAACAATAAACAATAAACAATAAACAATAAACAATAAACAATAAACAATAAACATAAACAATAAACAATAACAATAAACAATAAACAATAAACAATAAACAATAACAATAAACAATAAACAATAAACAATAAACAATAAACAATAAACAATAAACAATAAACAATAAACAATAAACAATAAACAATAAACAATAAACAATAAACAATAAACAATAAACAATAAACAATAAACAATAAACAATAAACAATAAACAATAAACAATAAACAATAAACAATAAACAATAAACAATAAACAATAAACAATAAACAATAAACAATAAACAATAAACAATAAACAATAAACAATAAACAATAAACAATAAACAATAAACAATAAACAATAAACAATAAACAATAAACAATAAACAATAAACAATAAACAATAAACAATAACAATAAACAATAAACAATAAACAATAAACAATAAACAATAAACAATAAACAATAAACAATAAACAATAAACAATAAACAATAAACAATAAACAATAAACAATAAACAATAAACAATAAACAATAAACAATAAACAATAAACAATAAACAATAAACAATAAACAATAAACAATAAACAATAAACAATAAACAATAAACAATAAACAATAAACAATAAACAATAAACAATAAACAATAAACAATAAACAATAAACAATAAACAATAAACAATAAACAATAAACAATAAACAATAAACAATAAACAATAAACAATAAACAATAAACAATAAACAATAAACAATAAACAATAAACAATAAACAATAAACAATAAACAATAAACAATAAACAATAAACAATAAACAATAAACAATAAACAATAAACAATAAACAATAAACAATAAACAATAAACAATAAACAATAAACAATAAACAATAAACAATAAACAATAAACAATAAACAATAAACAATAAACAATAAACAATAAACAATAAACAATAAACAATAAACAATAAACAATAAACAATAAACAATAAACAATAAACAATAAACAATAAACAATAAACAATAAACAATAAACAATAAACAATAAACAATAAACAATAAACAATAAACAATAAACAATAAACAATAAACAATAAACAATAAACAATAAACAATAAACAATAAACAATAAACAATAAACAATAAACAATAAACAATAAACAATAAACAATAAACAATAAACAATAAACAATAAACAATAAACAATAAACAATAAACAATAAACAATAAACAATAAACAATAAACAATAAACAATAAACAATAAACAATAAACAATAAACAATAAACAATAAACAATAAACAATAAACAATAAACAATAAACAATAAACAATAAACAATAAACAATAAACAATAAACAATAAACAATAAACAATAAACAATAAACAATAAACAATAAACAATAAACAATAAACAATAAACAATAAACAATAAACAATAAACAATAAACAATAAACAATAAACAATAAACAATAAACAATAAACAATAAACAATAAACAATAAACAATAAACAATAAACAATAAACAATAAACAATAAACAATAAACAATAAACAATAAACAATAAACAATAAACAATAAACAATAAACAATAAACAATAAACAATAAACAATAAACAATAAACAATAAACAATAAACAATAAACAATAAACAATAAACAATAAACAATAAACAATAAACAATAAACAATAAACAATAAACAATAAACAATAAACAATAAACAATAAACAATAAACAATAAACAATAAACAATAAACAATAAACAATAAACAATAAACAATAAACAATAAACAATAAACAATAAACAATAAACAATAAACAATAAACAATAAACAATAAACAATAAACAATAAACAATAAACAATAAACAATAAACAATAAACAATAAACAATAAACAATAAACAATAAACAATAAACAATAAACAATAAACAATAAACAATAAACAATAAACAATAAACAATAAACAATAAACAATAAACAATAAACAATAAACAATAAACAATAAACAATAAACAATAAACAATAAACAATAAACAATAAACAATAAACAATAAACAATAAACAATAAACAATAAACAATAAACAATAAACAATAAACAATAAACAATAAACAATAAACAATAAACAATAAACAATAAACAATAAACAATAAACAATAAACAATAAACAATAAACAATAAACAATAAACAATAAACAATAAACAATAAACAATAAACAATATTTTAAATATATTTTAAACATATTTTAAACATATTTTAAACATATTTTAAACATATTTAAACATATTTTAAACATATTTTAAACATATTTTAAACATATTTTAAACATATTTTAAACATATTTTAAACATATTTTAAACATATTTTAAACATATTTTAAACATATTTTAAACATATTTTAAACATATTTTAAACATATTTTAAACATATTTTAAACATATTTTAAACATAAACATATTTTAAAATATTTTATACATATTTTAAACATATTTTAAGCATATTTAAAACATATTTAAACATAAACATATTTTAAACACATTTTAAACATAAAACAACCACTATAAACTACAACAAACAAATAGGCAGGTAGTGAGGTCTGTGAAGTTATCACCGCCAAATGCGAATTTTCATAAAAATATTTTCTCCATTTTTTCTACGATTGTCCAACAAAAATTTTCGATTGTCTACCCTTCAAAAAAGTTATAGCAAATTTAAAAAAACTTTTTGATAATTTCAAAGTGGCATTCGATTGTCCACGATTGGTCCACGTTTTTCCAATCAATTTTTTCGTTTGTCCATCCCCAAAACAGAGATATTTAAAAAATAAAAAAAAAATAATGCAGATGGTCAATTGATAATATAAGTACTTTTAATGGTAATTTATTAAAACTAACTATTGCAACCGTTTGTCCACACAATATTTTCGTTTGTCCAGGCTCAATTTTCGTTTGTTACAGCCAATTTAAAAATCGAAAATTGGGCCTGGACAAACGAAAATAATATGTGGACAAACGATTACTGTATTTAATTTGTATGAATTGTATTAAGGTTGTCCCTAAAGACCTAATACATAATTTTTTCAAATATTTCTGTTTTGGGAGGTTGACAAACGAACATTTTGGTTGAACAAACGTGGACAAATCGTGGACAATCGAATGCCACTTTGAAATTATCAAAAAGTTTTTGTGGTGGTGTTGATATAAAATTTGGTTTAGATTTTTAAATTTACTATAACTTTTTTTTGAAAGGTGGACGTACGAAACTTGGGCGTGGATAAACCAAAATAATGTGTGGACAAACGATTGCAATAGTTAGTTTTAATAAATTGCCATTAGAAGTACTTATATTAATAATTGTTTATATTTTGAGTTTTTTTTGTTAATAACTTATTTCTGTTGGATGGACAAACGAAAATAAGGCCTGGACAAACGAAAATAAGGCCTGGACAAACCAAAATAATGTGTGGATACGGGATTGCCGTATTTAATTCGTATGAAATTTATTAAGGTTGTCCCTAAAAATCATTTGCAATATTTTTTTTTATTTTAAAATATCTCGTTTTTGGGGGTGGACAAACGAAAATTTTGGTTGAACAAACGTGGACAATCGAATGTCACTTTGAAATTAACAAAAATTTTATGGCGGTGCTGATGTGAAATTTGCTATAACATTTTTTTGACTTGTGGACTTAACATTATTGCCAAATTTAAACAATATTTTTACCGAAAAATAAATAGCTCCATCTAGTTTAATTTAATTTTCCTCATTTTCCCAGATTTTAAGTCATTTATCCAGTTTTTACTATAACAGCTCAGTCAATGCTAACAATTACATGTAAGAGTGTGTTCAGATTAAAAATATTTAACTTTGGGGCAAATTAGAAACAACTTACTCTCCCTATGGATTGTTAATATTTCCAGCATTTACTGTAACACATACAATAAAATATTTAGACAATTTTATTTTAATTTAGATCTATTTCAAGTTTACTCCGTTTCTCAGCCACTTTATCTAAAACAGAATCGGCCATAATTAACATTTCGATGGAAATTGAAACCCCTAACCCCCCCTTGAGTGCGCCACTGGTTGCATCAACATAAATTAGATTACTGCTAATATGCCACCCATCAAATGCTACAACGAACGATGCAAAATAACGAATAATTCAATGAGAGGATACAAACATCTTGAGAAAACGCATTAATCTTCTGTGATTTTTAATATTTAATGTAATATTTGCGCCATAATACTTTCTTTCTTCTTGAGATATTTCCAAACATAATTAGAAACTAAATCGTAACTCGTAACATCAAAGTCCGATCCTGGACCTGCCTGCAGGGTGCCGTATTACTGGATCCTTTTAGTTTTTAACTTGTAAAAAAGTAAAAATTATCTCTGAACGAAACTATAGGTACTACCTATGAGTAATAATTATTATTGTTGTTATCATAGCCATCATTAAAGAATCATAATTATCTATATTTGTTTTGTTACAGTTTTTGACGCATGCTCGAAATGTTGGAAATGGGTAGGATGGTTTGGCGAGAACAACAAAATCGCTTGTTTGTGTGTCTCGGCCTACTTTTGCTAGTTTATCTAGACGTTTCAGAGTGCGCGACAACAAACCGTAGAGTTGGACCGGCATTTCAAGGTGCAAAGAGAATAAACCCCAAAACCGGTAAAGTGATGGATCCTGCATTTGAAAACGCCGGTCAGCAAGCCGGCCTTGAAATATGGAGGATCGAGGTGAGTAATTCAGCACACCTTACCTTGCTATCGATTTACATGTATTTTTATCATTGTTACTCAGTGAGCAAAATATTTATTAGTATATCTATAAAGTTCAAATAAGTAAAAAATATAAAACAATATCATAAAAAATTTAGGAAAAGTATGAATAAATAAATAATTTTAGGCCTTACTTAGAGCGATGATAACACACGCAGCGGTTTTTGCCTCGGCCGTTGAGACGGCTGCCGCGCTGTGAATTTGCCGACCTTTACCCCCGATCTACCTGCAGTGTCCCTTTGAAGTAGCAAGTGAAGTCTACTTTGGCATATTTCCCCTGAATCACTCCCCTTAATATTAAACTGGATAAGAAAAACCATATAAGCTTCGGCACTATCCCAAGCTGTGAAGCGTTCAGGACAAGGGTTACCTGTAAAAAAATTAGAATAAAGCTACAAATTGTTATCCCCTTTCAATTGCTTCCAAGGCTATCTGAGTTGCATTTTTTAGGGTTGCAAAAAAACGATTTTTTGAGAACGTTGCGTAAATTGGTAGACTGAAAATTCGAATACACGAGTATTCATCAGAGCATTTATTTTAATATATCTGTAAAATTTCAGCACTCTACAACTTTCCATTTTTCCGAATTTCTTGACCCAAGACCGCGCGCGTTTAATTCCGTCCCTGTCCTACAGTATTTGCATTAAAAAAACACCCTTGAGGAACATGAACTAGACTAAATTTCTGTTGATTGTCGAAGAATATTTTTTTAATCGGTTTTCAAGAGAAATTATGTGAGAAAATAGGGGTAACTTTGATGAAAGTTATAAAAATCACCCGATTTTGAGCGCTCGCCTTTCCCTTGATTGTCAAGCTATCGACTCGAACAAAAACTATTGTAAAGTGTAATTAATCAGGTATAATTGGCTTTTTGAAAAATTTAAAATCGACGAAATTAAAACTAGTGTAAAACATGGGGCCGTGTGGCCGTCAATGACAAGACATGCCTCTCTTCAGGGCGCTCTAAAGGGTAAACTATAAATACTAGGGTAGTACTCTCGAAAGGTTTTTTGTCACAAATATCCTCTAGATGAAGAATGTTACAAGATTTTTTCATTTTAGACTAGACGCTTGCGCAGCGTTCTCAAAAAATCGAATGTTTTTTTTTTCAAAAACACCCCTAAAACATGCACGCCAGATACACCGGGTGCAATTGACTTTGGGACCAACATAACAATTTTTAGCTTTATTCTAATTGTTCACAGGTAAATCTGCTCTATCTCCTGTGGAGCCCACATGGGCGTATTGAAAAAAAAAATAAAATAAAAAGGAACATCGAAATTTTGTTTTTATTTCTTAAAAAACGTTAATTTTTTATTCATTGATGAAATATCTTGCTAGAATACAGTATGAACAAAGCATTAAGAATATTAAGTTTTTCCTAAAACTGATAATAAAGTTTTCCATATGTTTCCAACGTATAGATATATTTTTTCTCAAAATATATTTATTAAATATTAATACAATAAACAAGAAATAAAACGAATAAATATAATTTGAAATTTATAAATAAACTTCAATATTATTAAAAAATGTGTATATAAGTATAATTTATTTAGGACCGATTCCACCGTTGTATTAAACATTGTCATTTTAATCTCCGTTTAATACAACGGTGGAATCAGCTCTTACTCAAATAAATACAATAAAACAGATACAATAAAAATGTTGAAAATTAGAAAGCATATATTTAATTTAGTAAATAATGAAAGTAAACAAAAAAAAACAGCACCTGAGCGTTGGTGTTTTTTTTTTTTTTTTCTAAATAAACTGACAATCTAGGTATAAAATAAAAACAATAATAGATAAACATGAGAAAAATATAGATAACATTCAGGAAACTTAATATATAATAATAGAGTAGTTAAAATATTTTAAAATAAAAGTATTAGATTAGAATATAAATATAATTTTAATATTAAAAACTTTTTTCGTCTAAAAGGATAATTATATTTTTAATGTATTGTTATCTATTTTATTTTTAATTTTTTTTTTATTTATTTGCTATTCAGACTGTACAAGCGATGTCTAAGTTAAGAAATTGTTTTAATCGTTGTAGTTCGATTCCTAGCAGCCACTAATTATTTTTTTAAAATAATTTGATGCAATTAATTGACTTTAATTCTCTATGTAAAATTCATTGTACAACTTTGAACCTAAAAGTTTTTTTTTATTTAGGTATAGCAAAAGATTCAATTTTGTATCTGGTATTGGAGTGAGATATAAAACTGACGTCTAGTAATGATTTGACATTTTATAAACCAATAATAATAAAAAAAACATTATTTTTAAAATAAAATTCTGTAAATTTTCTTTAGTGAGTCGTAAAAAAATATACTTACTGTACAACTCAAGTGGAGTGTCCCTATCGCACTCAAACGATTTGTCATTATATTAACTCTTGTTATACAAACTACTACTTCATTTAAAAATATATAGGGTTGTCATTAAAGAAATTTAGTTGGGCTGGTTTTAAAGCGATAATTGGGGAATTTTGAGTACCTTCTTTATAGCTTACTGACAATATTGTAAAAGGCAATTTATTTTTGTTTTCTACACCCACATGTACGAGTATATTAGCTTATCTACGCACAGATTACAAACGAAAAAGTATACTATTGCCTTCAACTGAACGAATATATTTCATATTCTAGGTAGTGAGAACATTGCAAAAAAATTAAATCAACCAATCACCGTTCATATTTCGATCAACCGACTGCTATTATTTTTAAAATTTTAAATAATTGACAATTCTGTCAAACTAATTGTCAGTAAATTTTCTAGTTATTGAGATTAAACATATATTAAAATGGGTTATTCTTGTGTAGAATCGATACATAATAGCATTTCTGCTATTACTTCGTCTATTATTATAGTTTGTTTAAATAAAACTATATGATGTCAATTTAATTACGAGTATTAAAGCAAAAAAATAAAAGAGTAGGTGGTCATGTGGTCAGCGTTTCTGCCTTCCACAAAGTAGACTCGAGCTCGATTCTCGGATGAAGAAAAATCAAATATAAAAATAATTAAAAGATAAATTATTTTAAAATTAGTTATTTTTTCTTAATAACCTAAAATATTTTTTTATTTGTAAATATTCGTTAGTGGGTCGTAGAAAAAATATACTGTACAACTCGAGTGGATTGTCCACATCGCATTCAGACGATTGAGCTCAAATTTCGTCTTCGTGCGATATGGCCATCATATCCACTCTTGTTGCACAAAATACTATTATTTCAATTCGTTCGATATAGAGGTTGTAACAAAATAAAGTATGTCCCAATAAAAATGCACGATTTGAATTGCCCCTTGTTTTTTTTGTCGTTCGTAAAACCTACGTCATCGAAATATTGATAACAAGAGTGTAAACAGTCTGGTAATACTTATATTGAGTAATAATAATTATTATATATTTACATATTTTACAAAAATTAAGTTACCATGTAAATTACATATCTAAATGCAAAAAAGGTATGATATTATGAATCATACGATAATCATACGCTTTTTAACTATTAGGTAAAGATAATTAGGGATTTTCCGACACAGAGTCACTGAAAGAATTTGATGGGAATTACCTTACTTCTAGCTAAAATATATTAATGGGAAAAGTACTACAAAACAAAACTGGAGAGCAAGATCATGCGATTTAAGGCCTTATAATTTCTTTCTCTAGGGCTTTTGAAATCCCTCATATAGGCTAATAGACTAACAACAGTTGCAGATCTGAAGAACGAATTTCAACGCGTTATTAAAGGGCTGCCATTTACCAGATATTATTTTTAAAATATAAATAACACGTACAGTCGGCGCAACCAAATAATGGGAACGATGTCTGGTTGCCATGGAATTTTTTACTGAAATTAATTCCTGTAAGTCTGGCTTTAGCCAGTGGTGTTACAGAGAGGGGAGAATATTGAGAATAAAAATATATTATTTTTATTAGTGCAGTATTGTTAAACTGGTCTCGTATACATTAAATATGCAATAATAAATTGAAAGAATATAAAATTACAATAGCTATTTGTGCATTAAGAGCGAAAAGTGATACTTTATGTCAAATACTAAAAATTGGAAACAGTAAGTTATTTTAACAACTTCAGAATAATTTAAAAAAAAGGTAAAAAACGAGAAAAAACGGAATGTAAATTAATACTTAATAAGGATTTGAATGTTTCTTTATTGTATGAAGAAAGTTCTAGACTCTCTGTATTCTAGATCGTCTAGCGTTTTGTATCCATTGAATGGTTCCACATTCCACATTGGCACTTTGTTGTGACTTGTGACAAAAGTACTAAATATTTAAGGTTATCTATTTGACTCTGCACTTGTTCACTTTGAGAGGTAATTCTAAAACATAAATAAGATTGTACATTGTTTTAAGAGTTTCCATAAAATATTAGTTTTATTAGCAAAAATAATAATTTACCATTAAATTTATCACAACCTGCACAGAAAAAAGGTGTACTATATTCAAGATGAATGGTCTTATTTCAATGCTTTGTTGTTTGTATATCCGCAAGTAAAACTTTCGATTTGAAATTCTAGTAATACTTGTTCAACAATAGCTAATAAGCCTTGCTTCAAAATTAAAATCAACTTGCCCTAAATAAAATACCTCTAATTAACTGAAGAGTATCTATTGCTCAATTGCAGTATTATGTACATCTTAAATGAAACAATCTGGCACTTTTTTAAATATACTTTATTTATATTCAATAATACCTTTGTCTTAAATCCAATATAACTAAATTTGTTACAATAATAATATGAACTGTTCCAAGAAATGGTAATATTGGCTTAGACATAAATATATTGAAAAGGAAAAACTTGTATTTCGTGCAAAACTTTTTTATTAATCAATGCAAAGCGCTTTCGGCTTATTTGCCATCATCAGTGCTCATCTACAAAAATTGTGGATGTAAACTTACAATTTAAAAAGATTTTAAAAAATA